TCTGCCAGATAGCGAGCACTATAGGCGAGGATTCTCGAAAGGTCAGACAAAATATTTTTACACACCTCAAATGGTAAAGTGAGAAGGCTTTTAACTCACTTGTTAAAGCTCGGACCTAAAGATAAGTTCTCTAAGGATCGCATCTTATTATCTTCATTGTATAATCATTTCCTTCCCTCTCTACCCTGGGGGCTCCTTCGCCCATTGGAGGGTCCCTTGGGTCGCCACCACTCCTGGAAAGGCCCCTGAGGGCGCTGCCGAACCTGGGAGAGCCCCTGGGGGTGCTGTCGCTCCTGGGAGGGCCCCTAGAGGCACCACCTCACCAGGAAAGGCTCCTGGGGGCGCCATCTCCCCTGATAAGGCCCGAGGGTGCGCCATCGCTTCTTTAAAAACCCCATACGGCGCCACCGCCCCATGGAGGGCCCCTGGGGGCGTCACCACCCTTGGGGAGAACCCTTGAGGCGCCGCCACCTTTAGGAAGAATCCTGGAGGCGCCATCGCCCCCAGGCTGCTGTGGGGTTCTTGGGGCTCCTCCGCCCTTGGGAGGGCAGGTGGGAGAGCCAGACCAGTAGGGGCCACTGGCTGCAGTAGTTTTTGCACTATTTAGAACTCTTGGTAACGAAACGTTAAATAAATACATAGCCCATCACATTTCCAGTATCATCGCTTCCTAAACTACAAAACGGAGAATAATATCTAACAGGAAAACATAAGTTGTGGTGTTGTGCTGACTTACTGCTCTCTTCTCCTATTGGCTGTAATATGGTGGATAAAAGAATACTCCACCAATCATAGTTAAATAAGGGACTGCTGAAAATATGAAATAAATATGAAACAAAGACCAGGCATGCCACATTAAACTTGGGGGCCCTTGATATGGTCCCTGGTGGATGCGTTGCCCTTGCGAGGGTCCCTGGAAGAGCAGATACCCCCGGGAGGGTTCTTTAAATCTCCTCAGCCCCTGGGAGGATCCCTTAAAGCACCGCTTTCCCTGGGACGATCACTAGGTGTCCTTTCGCCCCTAGGAAAGTCATTGGAGACGTAAATGCCCCTAAAAGGGTCCCTAAGGGCGAACCTGCCACAGGGAGGGTCCCTCGGACGCACACGCCCATTGGAGGGTCCTTTAAATCTACTCAACCTCTGGGCGGATCCCTTAAAGCACCGCTTTCCCTGGGACGATCCCTAGGTGTCCTTTCGCCCCTAGGAAAGTCATTGGAGACGTATATGCCCCTGAGAGGGTCCCTAAGGGCAAACCTTCTCATGAGAGGGTCCCTAAGGGCGAACCGGCCCATGGAAGAGTTCCTGGGGGCAAACCCGCCCCTGGGAGGGTCCCTTGGGGAGAGGCTGCCCCTAGGAGGGTTCCTGGGGGCGCTTCTGCCCCTGTGAGGGTCCCTGTGAGTGTCCATGGGGGCCCCGCCGTCCCTGTGAGGGTCCCTGGGGACGCCACCACCTCTGTGAGGGTCCCTGGAAGCCCCCCCGTCCGTGTGATGGTCCCTGGGGGCGCCACCACCCCTGGGAGGGTTCCTGGGGATAACGCCTCCGATGAAAGGCTCCGCGTCTGCGCCGTTGCCACTAGGGGCACTGCCACCCATGGACGGTCCCTGGAGGCTCCGCTGCTTTTCAGAGGATCCCTGGGAGTGACAGATTAGTAGTGCGACTGGATGCAGTAGTATTTGCGCTATTTAGAACTCTTGGTAAAGAAACGCTAAATAAATACCTATTGCCCATCACATTTCCAGTATGATCGCTTCCTAAACAACGAAACGGAGAATAATATCTAACAGGAAAACATAAGTTGTGGTGTTGTGCTGACTTACTGCTCTCTTCTCCTATTGGCTGTAATATGGTGGCTAAAAAAATACTCCACCAATCATAGTTAAGTAAGGGACTGCCGAAAGTATGAAATATATGTGATATTTTTTCAAAGACCACGTATGCCATATCGTCCTTGGGGGCCCTTGGAAAGGTCCCTGGTGGAGGTGTCGCCCATGGGAGGGTCCCTGGAGGCGCAGATGCCCCCGTGAGAATCCCTAGGGGCGCAGACACCCGTGGGAGGGTCCTATAAAATCCTCAGCCCCTGGGAGAATCCCTTAAAGCACCACTTTCCCTGGGACGATCCCTAGGTGTCCTATCGCCCCTAGGAGGGTCGTTGGAGACGCCGATGCCCCTGAGAGGGTCCCTCAGGGCGAACCTGCCCATGGAAGGGTTCCTGGGGGCGAACCCGCTCCTGGGAAGGTGCCTTGGGGCGAGGCTGCCCCTACGAGGGTCCCTGGAGGCGCTTCTGCCCTTGGGAGGGTGCCTACGAGAGTCCCTGGAATCCCCGCCGTCCCTGTGAGGGTCCCTGGGGGCGCCACCACCCCTGTGAGGGTCCCTGGGAGCCCTGCCGTCCATGTGATGGTTCCTGGGAGTGCCACCTCCCATGTGAGGGTCCCTGGGAGCCCCGCCGTCCATGTGATGGTCTCCTGGAGGGCCACCACCCCTGGGAGGGTTCCTGGGGGTGCCGTCTCCGATGGAAGGCTCCGTGGCGTCGCCGTTGCCCCTGGGGGCACTGCCACCCAAGGGAGGGTCCCTGGGGGCTCCACTGCCTCTGAGAGGATCGCTGGGAGAGACAGACCAGTAGTGCCACTGGCTGCAGTAGTATTTGCGCTATTTAGAACTCTCGGTAAAGAAACGCTAAATAAATACCTATTGCCCATCACATTTCCAATATGATCGCTTCCTAAACAACGAAACGGAGAATAATATCAAACAGGAAAACATAAGTTGTGGTGTTGTGCTGACTTACTGCTCTCTTCTCCTATTGGCTGTAATTTGGTGGATAAAAAAATACTCCACCAATCATAGTTAAGTAAGAAACTGCTGAAAGTATGTAATATATGTGAAATTTTTTCAAAGACCAAGCATGCCATATGGTTCTTGGGGGCCCTTGGAAAGGTCCCTGGAGGAGGTGTCGGCCCTGGGAGGGTCCCTGGAGGCGCAGATGCCCCCGGGAGAAGCCATAGGGGCGCAGACACCCGTGGGAGGGTCCTATAAAATCCTCAGCCCCTGGGAGAATCCCTTAAAGCACCACTTTCCCTAGGACGATCCCTAGGTGTCCTTTCGCCCCTAGGAAGGTCGTTGGAGACGCCGATGCCCCTGAGAGGGTCCCTCAGGGCGAACCTGCCCATGGAAGGGTTCCTGGGGGCGAACCCGCTCCTCGGAAGGTCACTTGGGGCGAGGCTGCCCCTACGAGGGTCCCTGGAGGCGCTTCTGCCCTTGGGAGGGTGCCTATGAGAGTCCCTGGAATCCCCGCCGTCCCTGTGAGGGTCCCTGGGGGCGCCACCACCCCTGTGAGGGTCCCTGGAAGCCCCGACGTCCATGTGATGGTCCCTGGGGGCGCCACCTCCCATGTGAGGGTCCCTGGGAGCCCCGCCGTCCATGTGATGGTCCCCTGGAGGGCCACCACCCCTGGGAGGGTTCCTGGGGGTGCCGTCTCCAATGGAAGGCTCCGTGGCGTCGCCGTTGCCCCTGGGGGCACTGCCACCCAAGGGAGGGTCCCTGGGGGCTGTGCTGCCTCTGAGAGGATCGCTGGGAGAGACAGACCAGTAGTGCCACTGGCTGCAGTAGTATTTGCGCTATTTAGAACTCTTGGTAAAGAAACGCTAAATAAATACCTATAGCCAATCACATTTCCAGTATGATCGCTTCCTAAACAACGAAACGGAGAATAATATCTAACAGGAAACCATAAGTTGTGGTGTTGTGCTGACTTACTGCTCTCTTCTCCTATTGGCTGTAATTTGGTGGATAAAAGAATACTCCACCAATCATAGTTAAGTAAGGGACTGCTGAAAGTATGTAATATATAATGAATTAAAGACCAGGCATGCCATATGAAACTTGGGGACCCTTGGTATGGTCCCTGGTGGATGCGTCGCCCCTGGGAGGATCCCTGGAAGAGCAGATGCCCCCTGGAGGGTCCCTGGGACGCAGACGCCCATGGGAGGGTCCTTTTAATCTACTCAGCCCCTGGGATGATCCCTTAAAGCACCGCTATCTCTGGGACGATCCCTAGGTGTCCTTTCGCCCCTAGGAAGGTCGTTGGAGACGTAAATGCCTCTGAGAAGGTCTCTAAGGGCGAACCTGCCCATGAGAGGGTCCCTAAGGGCGACCCTGCTCATGGAAGAGTTCCTGGGGGCGACCCCGCCCCTGGGAGGGTCCCTTGGGGAGAGGCTGCCCCTAGGAGGGTCCCTGGGGGCGCTTCAGTCCTTCAGAGGGTCCCTGTGAGTGTCCCTGGGGGCCCCGCCATCCCTGTGAGGGTCCATGGAAGCCCCGCCGTCCCTGTAATGGTCCCTGGGGGCGCCACCACCCCTGGGAGGGTTCCTGGGGGTGCTGCCTCTGATGGAGGGCTCCGTGGAGGCGCCGTTGCCCCTGGGGGCACTGCCACCCATGGATGGTCCCTGGGGACTCTGCTGCCTCTGAGAGGATCCCTAGGAGTGACAGACCAGTAGGGGCTACTGGCTGCAGTAGTTTTTGCACTATTTAGAACTCTTGGTAAAGAAACGCTAAATAAATACACAGCCCATCACATTTATAGTATCATCGCTTCCTAAACAACGAAACGGAGAATAATATCTAACAGGAAAACATAAGTTGTGGTGTTGTGCTGACTTACTGCTCTCTTCTCCTATTGGCTGTAATATGGTGGCTAAAAAAATACTCCACCAATCATAGTTAAGTAAGGGACTGCCGAAAGTATGTAATATTTGTGATATTTTTTCAAAGACCACGCATGCCATATCGTCCTTGGGGGCCCTTGGAAAGGTCCCTGGTGGAGGTGTCGCCCTTGGGAGGGTCCTTGGAGGCGCAGATGCCCCCGGGAGAATCCCTAGGGGCGCACAGACACCCGTGGGAGGGTCCTATAAAATCCTCAGCCCCTGGGAGAATCCCTTAAAGCACCACTTTCCCTGGGACGATCCCTAGGTGTCCTTTCGCCCCTAGGAAGGTCGTTGGAGACGCCGATGCCCCTGAGAGGGTCCCTCAGGGCGAACCTGCCCATGGAAGGGTTCCTGGGGGCGAACCCGCTCCTGGGAAGGTCCCTTGGGGCGAGGCTGCCCCTACGAGGGTCCCTGGAGGCGCTTCTGCCCTTGGGAGGGTGCCTACGAGAGTCCCTGGAATCCCCGCCGTCCCTGTGAGGGTCCCTGGGAGCGCCACCACCCCTGTGAGGGTCCCTGGGAGCCCTGCCGTCCATGTGATGGTCCCTGGGAGCGCCACCACACCTGGGATGGTTCCTGGGGGTGCCGTCTCCGATGGAAGGCTCCGTGGCGTCGCCGTTGCCCCTGGGGGCACTGCCACCCAAGGGAGGGTCCCTGGGGGCTCCACTGCCTCTGAGAGGATCGCTGGGAGAGACAGACCAGTAGTGCCACTGGCTGCAGTAGTATTTGCGCTATTTAGAACTCTTGGTAAAGAAACGCTAAATAAATACCTATTGCCCATCACATTTCTAGTTTGATCGCTTCCTAAACAACGAAACGGAGAATAATATCTAACAGGAAAACATAAGTTGTGGTGTTGTGCTGACTTACTGCTCTCTTCTCCTATTGGCTGTAATTTGGCGGATAAAAAAATACTCCACCAATCATAGTTAAGTAAGGGACTGCTGAAAGTATGTAATATATAATGAATTAAAGACCAGGCATGCCATATGAAACTTGGGGACCCTTGGTATGGTCCCTGGTGGATGCGTCGCCCCTGGGAGGGTCCCTGGAAGAGCAGATGCCCCCTGGAGGGTCCCTGGGACGCAGACGCCCATGGGAGGGTCCTTTTAATCTACTCAGCCCCTGGGATGATCCCTTAAAGCACCGCTATCTCTGGGACGATCCCTAGGTGTCCTTTCGCCCCTAGGAAGGTCGTTGGAGACGTAAATGCCTCTGAGAAGGTCTCTAAGGTCGAACCTGCCCATGAGAGGGTCCCTAAGGGCGACCCTGCTCATGGAAGAGTTCCTGGCGGCAACCCCGCCCCTGGGAGGGTCCCTTGGGGAGAGGCTGCCCCTAGGAGGTTCCCTGGGGGCGCTTCAGCCCTTCAGAGGGTCCCTGTGAGTGTCCCTGGGGGCCCCGCCGTCCCTGTGAGGGTCCATGGAAGCCCCGCCGTCCCTGTAATGGTCCCTGGGGGCGCCACCACCCCTGGGAGGGTTCCTGGGGGTGCTGCCTCTGATGGAGGGCTCCGTGGAGGCGCCGTTGCCCCTGGGGGCACTGCCACCCATGGATGGTCCCTGGGGACTCTGCTGCCTCTGAGAGGATCCCTAGGAGTGACAGACCAGTAGGGGCCACTGGCTGCAGTAGTTTTTGCGCTATTTAGAACTCTTGGTAAAGAAACGCTAAATAAATACACAGCCCATCACATTTATAGTATCATCGCTTCCTAAACAACGAAACGGAAAATAATATCAAACAGGAAAACATAAGTTGTGGTGTTGTGCTGACTGACTGCTCTCTTCTCCTATTGGCTGTAATATGGTGGCTAAAAAAATACTCCACCAATCATAGTTAAGTAAGGGACTGCCGAAAGTATGTAATATTTGTGATATTTTTTCAAAGACCACGCATGCCATATCGTCCTTGGGGGCCCTTGGAAAGGTCCCTGGTGGAGGTGTCGCCCTTGGGAGGGTCCCTGGAGGCGCAGATGCCCCCGGGAGAATCCCTAGGGGCGCAGACACCCGTGGGAGGGTCCAATAAAATCCTCAGCCCCTGGGAGAATCCCTTAAAGCACCACTTTCCCTGGGACGATCCCTAGGTGTCCTTTCGCCCCTAGGAAGGTCGTTGGAGACGCCGATGCCCCTGAGAGGGTCCCTCAGGGCGAACCTGCCCATGGAAGGGTTCCTGGGGGAGAACCCGCTCCAGGGAAGGTCCCTTGGGGCGAGGGTGCCCCTACGAGGGTCCCTGGAGGCGCTTCTACCCTTGGGAGGGTGCCTACGAGAGTCCCTGGAATCCCCGCCGTCCCTGTGAGGGTCCCTGGGGGCGCCACCACCCCTGTGAGGGTCCCTGGGAGCCCTGCCGTCCATGTGATGGTCCCTGGGAGCGCCACCACACCTGGGAAGGTTCCTGGGGGTGCCGTCTCCGATGGAAGTCTCCGTGGCGTCGCCGTTCCCCCTGGGGGCACTGCCACCCAAGGGAGGGTTCCTGGGGGCTCCACTGCCTCTGAGAGGATCGCTGGGAGAGACAGACCAGTAGTGCCACTGGCTGCAGTAGTATTTGCGCTATTTAGAACTCTTGGTAAAGAAACGCTAAATAAATACCTATTGCCCATCACATTTCTAGTATGATCGCTTCCTAAACAACGAAACGGAGAATAATATCTAACAGGAAAACATAAGTTGTGGTGTTGTGCTGACTTACTGCTCTCTTCTCCTATTGGCTGTAATTTGGTGGATAAAAAAATACTCCACCAATCATAGTTAAGTAAGGGACTGCTGAAAGTATGTAATATATGTGAAATTTTTTCAAAACCAAGCATGCCATATGGTCCTTGGGGGCCCTTGGAAAGGTCCCTGGAGGAGGTGTTGCCCCTGGGAGGGTCCCTGGAGGCGCAGATGCCCTCGGGAGAATCCATAGGGGCGCAGACACCCGTGGGAGGGTCCTATAAAATCCTCAGCCCCTGAGAGAATCCCTTAAAGCACCACTTTCCCTGGGACGATCCCTAGGTGTCATTTCGCCCCTAGGAAGGTCGTTGGAGACGCCGACGCCCCTGAGAGAGTCCCTCAGGGCAAACCTGCCCATGGAAGGGTTCCTGGGGGCGAACCGGCTCCTCGGAAGGTCACTTGGGGCGAGGCTGCCCCTACGAGGGTCCCTGGAGGCGCTTCTGCCCTTGGGAGGGTGCCTACGAGAGTCCCTGGAATCCCCGCCGTCCCTGTGAGGGTCCCTGGGGGCGCCACCACCTCTGTGAGGGTCCCTGGAAGCCCCGTCCTCCATGTGATGGTCCCTGGGGGCGCCACCTCACCTGTGAGGGTCCCTGGGAGCCACGCCGTCCATGTGATGGTCCCAGGGAGCGCCACCACCCCTGGGATGGTTCCTGGGGGTGCCGTGTCCAATGGAAGGCTCCGTGGCGTCGCCGTTGCCCCTGGGGCACTGCCACCCAAGGGAGGGTCCCTGGGGGCTCTGCTGCCTCTGAGAGGATCGCTGGGAGAGACAGACCAGTAGTGCCACTGGCTGCAGTAGTATTTGCGCTATTTAGAACTCTTGGAAAAGAAACGCTAAATAAATACCTATTGCCCAACACATTTCCAGTATGATCGCTTCCTAAACAACGAAACGGAGAATAATATCAAACAGGAAAACATAATTTGTGGTGTTGTGCTGACTTACTGCTCTCTTCTCCTATTGGCTGTAATGTGGTGGCTAAAAGAATACTCCACCAATCATAGTTAAGTAAGGGACTGCTGAAAGTATGTAATATATAATGAATTAAAGACCAGGCATGCCATATGAAACTTGGGGATATCACGCCCATTGGAGGTCAGCAATCTCTCGGCCCTGGGATGATCCTTAAAGCACCGCTATCTCTGGGACGATCCCTAGGTGTCCTTTCGCCCCTAGGAAGGTCGTTGGAGACGTAAATGCCTCTGAGAAGGTCTCTAAGGGCGAACCTGCCCATGAGAGGGTCCCTAAGGGCGACCCTGCTCATGGAAGAGTTCCTGGGGGCGACCCCGCCCCTGGGAGGGTCCCTTGGGGAGAGGCTGCCCCTAGGAGGGTCCCTGGGGGCGCTTCAGCCCTTCAGAGGGTCCCTGTGAGTGTCCCTGGGGGCCCCGCCGTCCCTGTGAGGGTCCATGGAAGCCCCGCCGTCCCTGTAATGGTCCCTGGGGGCGCCACCAGCCCTGGGAGGGTTCCTGGGGGTGCTGCCTCTGATGGAGGGCTCCGTGGAGGCGCCGTTGCCCCTGGGGGCACTGCCACCCATGGATGGTCCCTGGGGACTCTGCTGCCTCTGAGAGGATCCCTAGGAGTGACAGACCAGTAGGGGCCACTGGCTGCAGTAGTTTTTGCGCTATTTAGAACTCTTGGTAAAGAAACGCTAAATAAATACCTATAGCCCATCACATTTATAGTATCATCGCTTCCTAAACAACGAAACGGAAAATAATATCAAACAGGAAAACATAAGTTGTGGTGTTGTGCTGACTGACTGCTCTCTTCTCCTATTGGCTGTAATATGGTGGCTAAAAAAATACTCCACCAATCATAGTTAAGTAAGGGACTGCCGAAAGTATGTAATATTTGTGATATTTTTTCAAAGACCACGCATGCCATATCGTCCTTGGGGGCCCTTGGAAAGGTCCCTGGTGGAGGTGTCGCTCTTGGGAGGGTCCCTGGAGGCGCAGATGCCCCCGGGAGAATCCCTAGGGGCGCAGACACCCGTGGGAGGGTCCTACAAAATCCTCAGCCCCTGGGAGAATCCCTTAAAGCACCACTTTCCCTGGGACGATCCCTAGGTGTCCTTTCGCCCCTAGGAAGGTCGTTGGAGACGCCGATGCCCCTGAGAGGGTCCCTCAGGGCAAACCTGCCCATGGAAGGGTTCCTGGGGGCGAACCCGCTCCTGGGAAGGTCCCTTGGGGCGAGGCTGCCCCTACGAGGGTCCCTGGAGGCGCTTCTGCCCTTGGGAGGGTTCCTACGAGAGTCCCTGGAATCCCCGCCGTCCCTGTGAGGGTCCCTCGGGGCGCCACCACCCCTTTGAGGGTCCCTGGAAGCCCCGTCGTCCATGTGATGGTCCCTGGGGGCGCCACCTCCCCTGTGAGGGTCCCTGGGAGCCCCGCCGTCCATGTGATGGTCTCTGGGAGCGCCACCACCCCTGGGAGGGTTCCTGGGGGTGCCGTCTCCAATGGAAGGCTCCGTGGCGTCGCCGTTGCCCCTGGGGGCACTGCCACCCAAGGGAGGGTCCCTGGGGGCTCTGCTGCATCTGAGAGGATCGCTGGGAGAGACAGACCAGTAGTGCCACTGGCTGCAGTAGTATTTGCGCTATTTAGAACTCTTGGTAAAGAAACGCTAAATATATACCTATAGCCCATCACATTTCCAGTATGATCGCTTCCTAAACAACGAAACGGAGAATAATATCTAACAGGAAAACATAAGTTGTGGTGTTGTGCTGACTTACTGCTCTCTTCTCCTATTGGCTGTAATTTGGTGGATAAAAAAATACTCCACCAATCATAGTTAAGTAAGGGACTGCTGAAAGTATGTAATATATGTGAAATTTTTTAAAAGACCAAGCATGCCATATGGCCCTTGGGGGCCCTTGGAAAGGTCCCTGGAGGAGGTGTCGCCCCTGGGAGGGTCCCTGGAGGCGCAGATGCCCCCGGGAGAATCCATAGGGGCGCAGACACCCGTGGGAGGGTCCTATAAAATCCTCAGCCCCTGGGAGAATCCCTTAAAGCACCACTTTCCCTGGGACGATCCCTAGGTGTCATTTCGCCCCTAGGAAGGTCGTTGGAGACGCCGACGCCCCTGAGAGAGTCCCTCAGGGCAAACCTGCCCATGGAAGGGTTCCTGGGGGCGAACCGGCTCCTCGGAAGGTCACTTGGGGCGAGGCTGCCCCTACGAGGGTCCCTGGAGGCGCTTCTGCCCTTGGGAGGGTGCCTACGAGAGTCCCTGGAATCCCCGCCGTCCCTGTGAGGGTCCCTGGGGGCGCCACCACCTCTGTGAGGGTCCCTGGAAGCCCCGTCCTCCATGTGATGGTCCCTGGGGGCGCCACCTCACCTGTGAGGGTCCCTGGGAGCCACGCCGTCCATGTGATGGTCCCAGGGAGCGCCACCACCCCTGGGATGGTTCCTGGGGGTGCAATGTCCAATGGAAGGCTCCGTGGCGTCGCCGTTGCCCCTGGGGCACTGCCACCCAAGGGAGGGTCCCTGGGGGCTCTGCTGCCTCTGAGAGGATCGCTGGGAGAGACAGACCAGTAGTGCCACTGGCTGCAGTAGTATTTGCGCTATTTAGAACTCTTGAAAAAGAAACGCTAAATAAATACCTATAGCCCAACACATTTCCAGTATGATCGCTTTCTAAACAACGAAACGGAGAATAATATCAAACAGGAAAACATAATTTGTGGTGTTGTGCTGACTTACTACTCTCTTCTCCTATTGGCTGTAATGTGGTGGCTAAAAGAATACTCCACCAATCATAGTTAAGTAAGGGACTGCTGAAAGTATGTAATATAGGTGACCTTTTTTCAAAGACCAAGCATGCCATATCGTCCTTGGGGGCCCTTGGAAAGGTCCCTGGTGGAGGTGTCGCCCTTGGGAGGGTCCCTGGAGGCGCAGATGCCCCCGGGAGAATCCATAGGGGCGCAGACACCCGTGGGAGGGTCCTATAAAATCCTCAACCCCTGGGAGAATCCCTTAAAGCACAATTCCCTGGGACGTTCCCTAGGTGTCCTTTCGCCCCTAGGAAGGTCGTTGGAGATGCCGATGCCCCAAAGAGGGTCCCTCAGGGCGAACCTGCCCATGGAAGAGTTCCTGGGGGCGAACCCGCCCCTGGGAGGGTCCCTTGGGGAGAGGCTGCCCCTAGGAGGGTCCCTGGGGGCACTTCAGCCCTTCAGAGGGTCCCTGTGAGTGTCCCTGGGGGCCCCGCCGTCCTTGTGAGGGTCCATGGAAGCCCCGCCGTCCCTGTAATGGTCCCTGGGGGCGACACCACCCCTGGGAAGGTTCCTGGGGGTGCTGCCTCTGATGGAGGGCTCCGTGGAGGCGCCATTGCCCCTGGGGGCACTGCCACCCATGGATGGTCCCTGGGGACTCTGCTGCCTCTGAGAGGATCCCTAGGAGTGACAGACCAGTAGGGGCCACTGGCTGCAGTAGTTTTTGCGCTATTTAGAACTCTTGGTAAAGAAACGCTAAATAAATACACAGCCCATCACATTTATAGTATCATCGCTTCATAAACAACGAAACGGAGAATAATATCTAACAGGAAAACAGAAGTTGTGGTGTTGTGCTGACTGACTGCTCTCTTCTCCTATTGGCTGTAATATGGTGGCTAAAAAAATACTCCACCAATCATAGTTAAGTAAGGGACTGCCGAAAGTATGTAATATATGTGATATTTTTTCAAAGACCACGCATGCCATATCGTCCTTGGGGGCCCTTGGAAAGGTCCCTGGTGGAGGTGTCGCCCTTGGGAGAGTCCCTGGAGGCGCAGATGCCCCCGGGAGAATCCCTAGGGGCGCAGACACCCGTGGGAGGGTCCTATAAAATCCTCAGCCCCTGGGAGAATCCCTTAAAGCACCACTTTCCCTGGGACGATCCCTAGGTGTCCTTTCGCCCCTAGGAAGGTCGTTGGAGACGCCGATGCCCCTGAGAGGGTCCCTCAGGGCAAACCTGCCCATGGAAGGGTTCCTGGGGGCGAACCCGCTCCAGGGAAGGTCCCTTGGGGCGAGGCTGCCCCTACGAGGGTCCCTGGAGGTGCTTCTGCCCTTGGGAGGGTGCCTACGAGAGTCCCTGGAATCCCCGCCGTCCCTGTGAGGGTCCCTGGGGGCGCCACCACCCCTGTGAGGGTCCCTGGGAGCCCTGCCGTCCATGTGATGGTCCCTGGGAGCGCCACCACACCTGGGAGGGTTCCTGGGGGTGCCGTCTCCGATGGAAGGCTCCGTGGCGTCGCCGTTGCCCCTGGGGGCACTGCCACCCAAGGGAGGGTCCCTGGGGGCTCCACTGCCTCTGAGAGGATCGCTGGGAGAGACAGACCAGTAGTGCCACTGGCTGCAGTAGTATTTGCGCTATTTAGAACTCTTGGTAAAGAAACGCTAAATAAATACCTATTGCCCATCACATTTCTAGTTTGATCGCTTCCTAAACAACGAAACGGAGAATAATATCTAACAGGAAAACATAAGTTGTGGTGTTGTGCTGACTTACTGCTCTCTTCTCCTATTGGCTGTAATTTGGCGGATAAAAAAATACTCCACCAATCATAGTTAAGTAAGGGACTGCTGAAAGTATGTAATATATAATGAATTAAAGACCAGGCATGCCATATGAAACTTGGGGACCCTTGGTATGGTCCCTGGTGGATGCGTCGCCCCTGGGAGGGTCCCTGGAAGAGCAGAGACTCGCCCATGGGAGGGAGGGTCCTCTGGGGAGGTGTCCTTTCGCCCCTAGGAAGGTCGTTGGAGACGATGCCTCTGAGAGGTCCTAAGGTCGAACCTGCCCATGAGAGGGTCCTTGATAGACAAGAGGGTCCCAGGCTGCCCCTGGGAGGGTCCCTGTGAGTGTCCCTGGGGGCCCCGCCGTCCCTGTGAGGGTCCATGGAAGCCCCGCCGTCCCTGTAATGGTCCCTGGGGGCGCTATCTCTGGGAACTCCTCTAGGGTCCTTTCGCCCCTAAATAAATAAATACCTATAGCCCATCACATTTCCAGTATGATCGCTTCCTAAACAACGAAACGGAGAATAATATCTAACAGGAAAACATAAGTTGTGGTGTTGTGCTGACTTACTGCTCTCTTCTCCTATTGGCTGTAATTTGGTGGATAAAAAAATACTCCACCAATCATAGTTAAGTAAGGGACTGCTGAAAGTATGTAATATATAATGAATTAAAGACCAGGCATGCCATATGAAACTTGGGGACCCTTGGTATGGTCCCTGGTGGATGCGTCGCCCCTGGGAGGGTCCCTGGAAGAGCAGATGCCCCCTGGAGGGTCCCTGGGACGCAGACGCCCATGGGAGGGTCCTTTTAATCTACTCAGCCCCTGGGATGATCCCTTAAAGCACCGCTATCTCTGGGACGATCCCTAGGTGTCCTTTCGCCCCTAGGAAGGTCGTTGGAGACGTAAATGCCTCTGAGAAGGTCTCTAAGGTCGAACCTGCCCATGAGAGGGTCCCTAAGGGCGACCCTGCTCATGGAAGAGTTCCTGGGGGCGACCCCGCCCCTGGGAGGGTCCCTTGGGGAGAGGCTGCCCCTAGGAGGTTCCCTGGGGGCGCTTCAGCCCTTCAGAGGGTCCCTGTGAGTGTCCCTGGGGGCCCCGCCGTCCCTGTGAGGGTCCATGGAAGCCCCGCCGTCCCTGTAATGGTCCCTGGGGGCGCCACCACCCCTGGGAGGGTTCCTGGGGGTGCTGCCTCTGATGGAGGGCTCCGTGGAGGCGCCGTTGCCCCTGGGGGCACTGCCACCCATGGATGGTCCCTGGGGACTCTGCTGCCTCTGAGAGGATCCCTAGGAGTGACAGACCAGTAGGGGCCACTGGCTGCAGTAGTATTTGCGCTATTTAGAACTCTTGGTAAAGAAACGCTAAATAAATACCTATAGCCCATCACTTTTATAGTATCATCGCTTCCTAAACAACGAAACGGAAAATAATATCAAACAGGAAAACATAAGTTGTGGTGTTGTGCTGACTGACTGCTCTCTTCTCCTATTGGCTGTAATATGGTGGCTAAAAAAATACTCCACCAATCATAGTTAAGTAAGGGACTGCCGAAAGTATGTAATATTTGTGATATTTTTTCAAAGACCACGCATGCCATATCGTCCTTGGGGGCCCTTGGAAAGGTCCCTGGTGGAGGTGTCGCCCTTGGGAGGGTCCCTGGAGGCGCAGATGCCCCCTAGGGGCGAGGTCCCTGGGACGCACGACACCCGTCGTTGGAGGGTGCCCCTGAGAGGGTCCCTAATCCTCAGCCCCTGGGATGTTCCCTTAAAGCACCGCTGATGGTCCCTGGGACGATCCCTAGGTGTCCTTTCGCCCCTGGAAGAAGCATCGTCGTATTTGCGCCTCGACGTAAATGCCCCCTCCCTGAGGGAAGGTCTGAGAAGGTCTCTAAGGGCGAACCTGCCCATGAGAGGGTCCCTAAGGGCGACCCTGCTCATGGAAGAGTTTCTGGGGGCGACCCCGCCCCTGGGAGGGTCCCTTGGGGAGAGGCTGCCCCTAGGAGGGTCCCTGGGGGCGCTTCAGCCCTTCAGAGGGTCCCTGTGAGTGTCCCTGGGGGCCCCGCCGTCCCTGTGAGGGTCCATGGAAGCCCCGCCGTCCCTGTAATGGTCCCTGGGGGCGCCACCACCCCTGGGAGGGTTCCTAGGGGTGCTGCCTCTGATGGAGGGCTCCGTGGAGGCGCCGTTGCCCCTGGGAGCACTGCCACCCATGGATGGTCCCTGGGGACTCTGCTGCCTCTGAGAGGATCCCTAGGAGTGACAGACCAGTAGGGGCCACTGGCTGCAGTAGTTTTTGCGCTATTTAGAACTCTTGGTAAAGAAACGCTAAATAAATACCTATAGCCCATCACATTTATAGTATCATCGCTTCCTAAACAACGAAACGGAGAATAATATCAAACAGGAAAACATAAGTTGTGGTGTTGTGCTGACTGACTGCTCTCTTCTCCTATTGGCTGTAATATGGTGGCTAAAAAAATACTCCACCAATCATAGTTAAGTAAGGGACTGCCGAATGTATGTAATATTTGTGATATTTTTTCAAAGACCACGCATGCCATATCGTCCTTGGGGGCCCTTGGAAAGGTCCCTGGTGGAGGTGTCGCCCTTGGGAGGGTCCCTGGAGGCGCAGATGCCCCCGGGAGAATCCCTAGGGGGGGCAGACACCCGTGGGAGGGTCCTATAAAATCCTCAGCCCCTGGGAGAATCCCTTAAAGCACCACTTTCCCTGGGACGATCCCTAGGTGTCCTTTCGCCCCTAGGAAGGTCGTTGGAGACGCCGATGCCCCTGAGAGGGTCCCTCAGGGCGAACCTGCCCATGGAAGGGTTCTGGGGGCGAACCCGCTCCTGGGAAGGTCCCTTGGGGCGAGGCTGCCCCTACGAGGGTCCCTGGAGGCGCTTCTGCCCTTGGGAGGGTGCCTACGAGAGTCCCTGGAATCCCCGCCGTCCCTGTGAGGGTCCCTGGGGGCGCCACCACCCCTGTGAGGGTCCCTGGGAGCCCTGCCGTCCATGTGATGGTCCCTGGGAGCGCCACCACCCCTGGGAGGGTTCCTGGGGGTGCCGTTTCCGATGGAAGGCTCCGTGGCGTCGCCGTTGCCCCTGGGGGCACTGCCACCCAAGGGAGGGTCCCTGGGGGCTCCTCTGCCTCTGAGAGGATCGCTGGGAGAGACAGACCAGTAGTGCCACTGGCTGCAGTAGTATTTGCGCTATTTAGAACCATTGGTAAAGAAACGCTAAATAAATACCTATTGCCCATCACATTTCCAGTATGATCGCTTCCTAAACAACGAAACGGAGAATAATATCTAACAGGAAAACATAAGTTGTGGTGTTGTGCTGACTTACTGCTCTCTTCTCCTATTGGCTGTAATTTGGTGGATAAAAAAATACTCCACCAATCATAGTTAAGTAAGGGATTGCTGAAAGTATGTAATATATGTGAAATTTTTTCAAAGACCAAGCATGCCATATGGTTCTTGGGGGCCCTTGGAAAGGTCCCTGGAGGAGGTGTCGCCCCTGGGAGGGTCCCTGGAGGCGCAGATGCCCCCGGGAGAATCCATAGGGGCGCAGACACCCGTGGGAGGGTCCTATAAAATCCTCAGCCCCTGGGAGAATCCCTTAAAGCACCACTTTCCCTGGGACGATCCCTAGGTGTCCTATCGCCCCTAGGAAGGTCGTTCGAGACGCCGATGCCCCAAAGAGGGTCCCTCAGGGCGAACCTGCCCATGGAAGGGTTCCTGGGGGCGAACCCGCTCCTGGGAAGGTCCCTTGGGGCGAGGCTGCCCCTACGAGGGTCCCTGGAGGCGCTTCTGCCCTTGGGAGGGTGCCTACGAGAGTCTCTGGAATCCCCGCCGTCCCTGTGAGGGTCCCTGGGGGCGCCACCACCCCTGTGAGGGTCCCTGGGAGCGCCACCACCCCTGCGAGGGTTCCTGGGGGTGCCGTTTCCGATGGAAGGCTCCGTGGCGTCGCCGTTGCCCCTGGGGGCACTGCCACCCAAGGGAGGGTCCCTGGGGGCTCCACTGCCTCTGAGAGGATCGCTGGGAGAGACAGACCAGTAGTGCCACTGGCTGCAGTAGTATTTGCGCTATTTAGAACTCTTGGTAAAGAAACGCTAAATAAATAAATACCTATAGCCCATCACATTTCCAGTATGATCGCTTCCTAAACAACGAAACGGAGAATAATATCTAACAGGAAAACATAAGTTGTGGTGTTGTGCTGACTTACTGCTCTCTTCTCCTATTGGCTGTAATTTGGTGGATAAAAAAATACTCCACCAATCATAGTTAAGTAAGGGACTGCTGAAAGTATGTAATATATAATGAATTAAAGACCAGGCATGCCATATGAAACTTGGGGACCCTTGGTATGGTCCCTGGTGGATGCGTCGCCCCTGGGAGGGTCCCTGGATGTGCAGATGCCCCCTGGAGGGTCCCTGGTACGCAGACGCCCATGGGAGGGTCCTTTTAATCTACTCAGCCCCTGGGATGATCCCTTAAAGCACCGCTATCTCTGGGACGATCCCTAGGTGTCCTTTCGCCCCTAGGAAGGTCGTTGGAGACGTAAATGCCTCTGAGAGGGTCTCTAAGGGCGAACCTGCCCATGAGAGGGTCCCTAAGGGCGACCCTGCTCATGGAAGAGTTCCTGGGGGCGACCCCGCCCCTGGGAGGGTCCCTTGGGGAGAGGCTGCCTCTAGGAGGGTCCCTGGGGGCGCTTCAGCCCTTCAGAGGGTCCCTGGGGGCCCCGCCGTCCCTGTAATGGTCCCTGGGGGCGCCACCACCCCTGGGAGGGTTCCTGGGGGTGCTGCCTCTGATGGAGGGCTCCGTGGAGGCGCCGTTGCCCCTGGGGGCACTGCCACCCATGGATGGTCCCTGGGGACTCTGCTGCCTCTGAGAGGATCCCTAGGAGTGACAGACCAGTAGGGGCTACTGGCTGCAGTAGTTTTTGCGCTATTTAGAACTCTTGGTAAAGAAACGCTAAATAAATACACAGCCCATCACATTTCCAGTATGATCGCTTCCTAAACAACGAAACGGAGAATAATATCTAACAGGAAAACATAAGTTGTGGTGTTGTGCTGACTGACTGCTCTCTTCTCCTATTGGCTGTAATATGGTGGCTAAAAAAATACTCCACCAATCATAATTAAGTAAGGGACTGCCGAAAGTATGTAATATATGTGACACAAAGACCAAGCATGCCATATGGTCCTTGGGGACCCTTGGTAAGGTCCTTGGTGGGAGCGCTGCCTCTGGCATGGTCCCTGGAGGCACAGATGCCCCCGGGAGGATCCCTGGGGGCGCAGACGTCCGTTGGAGGGTCCTTTAAATCCCCGCCGCCCCTGGGAAGATTCCTTAAAGCGCCGCTGTCCCCAAGACGATCCCTTGGGGTTCTTTCGCCTTTAGGAGTGTCGTTGGAGATGCCGACGCCCCTGAAAGGGTCCCTAAGGGCGAATCTGCCCATGGGATGGTTCCTGGGGGAGAACCCACCCCTGGGAAGGTCCGTTTGGGCAAGGCCGCCCCTAGGAGGGTCCCTGGGGGTGCTGCCGCCCCTGGGAGGGTCCCTGTGAGGGTCCCTTGGGGCCCCGCCGTCCCTGGGAGAGTTCTGGGGAATCTTATATTCCTGGAATAGTCCCTGGGGGTGCCACCACCCCTGGGAGAGTTCCTGGGGGCACCGCCACCCAAGGGAGGGTCCCTGGGGGTACCACCTCTGCTGGGATGCTCCGTGGCGCCGCCATTGCCCATGGGGGCATGGCCGCCCAAGGGGAGTCCCTGGGGCTCCTCCGCTCCTGGGAGGGCCCTTGGGAGTGCCAGATCAGTAGGGCCACTGGCTGCAGAATTTTTTGCGCTATTTACAACTCTGGGTAAGTAAGCGTTAAATAAATACACAGCCCATCACATTTATAGTATGATTGCTTCCTAAACAAAGAAACGGAGAATAACATCAAACAGGAAAACATAAATTGTGATGTTGTGCTGACTGACTGCTCTCTTCTCCTAGTGGCTATAATTTGGTGGATTAAACGAATAGTCCACCAATCGTAGTTTTGTAATGGACCGGTGGATAGTACGTAATTATATGACACAAAGACCAAGCATGCCATAGGGCCTTTGAGAGCCCTTAGTAACGTCCCTGGTGGGGGCCCCAAGGGTGGCGGCGCTCCCAAGGTTCTCCCAAAGGGTGATGGCTCCCCCATGTTTGCTTGGGTGTTGACAATAGAGAAATTATAAACTTATAGTAATGTTTTGGTCACTTCCACATGACAAATTATTCAATATTCCTCATGTACACTTATGACTACTCACTAGAGGTGGCCTGTGTAGTGTCCTTCCATTCTTCTTTATAGTCTTGTCTTGGACCATTTTCAATCCCAGTACTGTACTGTTTTCTATTACACAGTTTAAACCATTTAAGCCACATACAGTGTTATGACCTCGAAGGCCATCTGGAAACATTATCTTATCAATCCCACTTGGGGCCAAATGCAAGAACTGCCATCATGTTCACGATGCTGTCGTCTCCCGATGGTTGCTTTGCAAGAAGCACTCTGTGCTTAAAAAAACAAAACAAAAAAAACGTACAATTCTTTATCGGAACGTAGGCAATTTCCATGGCGCTCTCACCCCCGCCCAATCCATACTATGATGGTAACTATATTTTGAAACCCAAAGAAAAGAAATACAATTGGATGTACAAAAACTGTAAAAATCTGCAAAGGAATAATATTTTTATAAGATATCCTCCATATGGAACAGCATATGAAGAATTTTATTGTTCTTTTTAAAAGAATTCCCTGTTTGTGTGGGAACATCCGTCAGCCTCTACTTGCCTCATCACTGCTTATATCGTCCAAATTCTTCTAACTACCATTAAAGGTATCCCTTTAAGATAGCTAATCCTAATAATTTATGTGTAGGGATGCATGGAAATCAAGCTAAAAAAATCATAAGTGGCCAAATTGGAGAGTTGTGAAAGCTGCTCCATCTGTGAATAGTATCAACCCAATTTTCGTAATGTCCACAATTAATATTGTCCAACAATACCAAAATAAATATTGCATTAGTATAAATACTTAGTATCCTAAATTTCATATTTTAACAAGTCCATATATACCAGGTAACCAGTGCCAATTAGATTAGGTTAAGGAATTTATGAGTATTTGATTGTTGCTTGGCCACACATCATTACATGAGAAAACACATGAAACATTCAACATTCCTGTGTTGGTAACTTGACATTATAACTCACTTAAAGGGGAATCTAAAGTGAATGATAACTTTATGATACATTTATTATGTAATACAATCTTATATAAGTTGAATTATTAACATTATGGATTAAAGGAGTCACTATACTATACACTATGTACAGAATCACCTCTCTACCTCTCATGCCTACACTGCTGTATCATCAAAGGCAGGTTAACTGTTTTGGACCAGAGGGAACACCACTCCATGTCAGTGTTCCCAGTGAATCAAAACCAAGTGTGGAATTTTGTGCATATAGGATTATCAGTACAGTTTTATCACTTATAGAACAACCCACATAGTTATAAATCTCATCTTCTAGATATTTTCACCTGATGTAAAAGTTGAATGAGAACTTGGCAATAGATTTTCAAGAAGGAAATAAATCTTGTTACTTTACACTGATACAAAAACATCACCATTTAGAAGCAGATGAAGACTGACAGACACAGCTACTGTCACTTCCTCCAGTTTTATACGGACACACAACAGAGATAATTTTGTCATTTATATCTAATGCCAATAAAGGTTGAGATACAAACAGTTAAGCATTACAGTCATTAATCCTCCTAGACCTTACAGATCATCCTGATCAACCAATAAGTGTATGAACTGTACTGTATGTGGGATTAAGTGTAAATACATACATACATATGTGTATGTGTGTGTGTACAGCCATAGACACAAGTCTGCCTTTAAATCTTACTGGCAAGAATAATAAATTTTTACTTTATTAACCTCTCAGGAAATATTACACACAAGAAATGCGTATACTGTATATACAGTATATTAAATAAAAAATAACAATACAAACAGTCGCCTTTGGTTAAACCTGGTACAGTACAAAGGCTGGCATGTTTTGTGATATGTGGCAATACTGGCATGTTTTGTGATATGTGGCAACTCTGTGGAATGCTAATTTTGCATCCCTAGACCAGCTACAATTGTGAGTTTCCTTACAGCCACTCCAGGAGTTTTAATATGATGTAAACAAACAGAGATGCCACATCTCTTAAAATGCATCAGTCACTCTACCAGGCTCAAGTGCAGGCAACTGTACACCTCAGCATTGAGGTAAGGGGCATGTGAGAAGGAGATTTTCATCGACTCATATTGAAGGGATGCCATCAGACCTCACAGCTCCCTCACAGACTGCAGGATGTAATATAGTATGTAATGTAAAAAGAGGCAGTAGTATCCTAACTCTAAGTCTTGCATACAATATTCACATTGTTGTTTTACAAGTTCAGATTATCAAATAGTTATGTTAAACAACTCATTCCTGAAGTAGCCAACATGATGTCAATTAAGTGTTGTAATGATAAATACTAGAGATAAAAGTTTACTCTGCACCTGGCAGCTTCTTAGGGAATCTATTTTCAATACTTTATCAGAAAGCATAAGAATGTTTGCAATAATCATAAATACATATACTGTATAATTATTTAATTAAATTCATCTCAAGTTTTCTTATTCCTTGTACAGTATTATGTCTAACACATGTCTTTTATGCTATGATAAATACAGTACTGTCTGTTTTTAAAAACAATTAAGAAAAACAAAGATAAAATAATATGTAACTACTGTACTGTATTTCTTTTAATGTAAATTTGCCCCACCAACTTATCGCTATATGATTTTCTAAACAATTATTTACGTCAATCTACACACTGTATTACTTCATTTTGTAATATGTATACTTTTTTTTATTGAAAGGAGATTCTGCTATTGCAAAATTAACATATTGCAATAAATTAGAACTGTCTGAGCACAATTTAATGTCTTATCTTGACACATCAGCCTTCACTGTAGGACCAGTTACATGAAACACTCAGTCCAGACCACAAAGTAAAATAATTTGTACAAATGATCGCAACAACAAATGTTTTCAACCAAGGCTTCATAAACTGTATATTGACTATACTGAGTCAGTTTATAATTAAATAAAACCATCTGTAGGAATATACTGTATAACTTCAAGCAATAACAACTGTAGGTACTTACAGTTTTAAGTAACAGCAGCTATACATTAGTTGTGCTGTGCAGTACAGTAGCGACAGCTTTATGTGACCACAGTTGTGAAGAGGAACAACCAAGAATATCTACATATGTATACAACTAAAACCATTTATAACTACACCTGCATGCAATTAACTACTTTATTCTCAGACAACTGCAATTGACACATTTACTTAGTGTGATGCAGCTACAGCAGGTGTGAGGCAAACAACCAATGATAAGTTATGCTTCTAATGTATACAAGTTGTGGTCACTGTCTTAAATTTCTTCTATTTTTTTATATTTACATTAGAACAATGACCCTCTACAGATCCTTAAACTATACTTCTAATATTATGCATAGGGAGACGTTATGGTGAACATCTGTGGACAACGGAGGGCGTTCTACACATATCACCTAAATAACTCTGGTTATTTTGGTTCACATTTGGGAACCTGACCGTTGACTGGAGTGTACTGAGCTACATCATGACTGTGGCCTCACTTCCTACCATTCAATGAACCAAACTTGTAGTTAAGAAGACCTGTAAAAGGACAACAGCTCCTACTCAACACATACAGTTTCTTGGGTACAGACTTTGTAGCTTAAGAAATTAAACTGAAATATAAACAGACCTGGAAGGAGTTAACTAGGATACTGTTCATATATTTTTGCATGTGATGTCAAGCTTAAATAGTAAAGCTTGATTAAATCAGCAAAAGTCTTGCCTCCTAATTATCATACACTCCCCAGAGCATTGGCCCAAACTGAAGAACAACGTCTCTCACAGGGCTATCAACTTCAGCATCAGATGAAATTCCCAGAGTTCTTCTAATTCTTTGGATACCATTGTACACTTTCATTACCTATATATACAAGATAATATCATTTCAACTCATACTCTTACTCTCAAAAAGTTTTCATGGAGAATACTTAACAATATTTGTATTTCACTAATCAATACAATGAACAACTTAAAACCCAAATGTGCTTAGTAAGACATTAATAAAGTGGAAAAAATAGTTTATCAAATTACCTGATAAAACCGTAACATGTACTCTACCTTATGTGATGCTCCCACACAATTGTACAAACTAAAACCAAACATACTTATAATAATATCCAGATATTGTCGATATCCGAACCTACTATAATTTTATCTCATTAAAAAGTATATAAATAACATGTACATCAAATTGTTTCTCATGTACTGGCGAGTGAATGTATGTTTCAGTAACACTATAATGAAACATAAAATAAAATAAAATATACATAAAAGCCACCAAAGCTGATCCTTCCTGGCAAAGATAAAATCGTAACACAATCGTAAGTATCTTTCACTCTGCACAACTTCCACACTTATAGTTATTTCTCTCTTTTTTTGTGTATTTCTGATCATTAGCAAATAATACAAGTGATATGGTAAGTGTAAGAAAGTATTGTACAGTGGCAGTATACACATTTGACAAGAAGAATAATAATAAAAATAAAAAATAAAAAAGAACCAAACATCTGGGACTACAGTACTCAGGTATATACCCAAGACATCTTAATACTTCCATGGAAAACAAGTAGCATTTAGCCTCTTGGGATGGACTTCAATAAAGATCAGAGCAATAGAGATTCACTCGAGCTATTGCACTTCACCTCGTCCACACATATCGAAAACTGATGACGAACATTGGTGCTATAATGAGTGTACAGATGGGCGCCACACAGGGACTAGCAGATACTCCTTGTTCACTTGAAGCTGATGCTGGAGGTTCAACTTCTTCAAGTACAGTTCTAACTTCATCAGGGTCTTCAAGATCCTCATCATTTACATCATTAGGGTGCATGTGTGTTTCTCGTGGCAGCTGCTCATCAATTTTCATGGGATATTCCCCTGGTGAAGAATCCTCTAAAAATGTTTCATCACCAACCTCCTCATCTAGCTCTTCACTGTAGTACTCGTATTCCTCTGGGTACTCATCATATATTGAATCCTCTTCTGGTACTGGTTCTTCCTCTGGTACTGGCTCTTCCTCTGGTACTGGTTCTTCCTCTGGTACTGGCTCTTCCTCTGGTACTGGTTCTTCCTCTGGAACTGGCTCTTCTGAAGGAACTGGCTCCTCTTCCGGTACTGGTTCTTCCTCTGGTACTGGCTCTTCCTCTGGTACTGGTTCTTCCTCTGCTACTGGCTCTTCTTCTGGTACCGGCTCTTCCTCTGGTACTGGCTCTTCTGAAGGTATTGGCTCCTCATCTTCTGGCAATGCCCCCTTTACTGGTACCATATCGCGGTCATAGAAAGAGTAGACAGAGTCATCATAGTCATTATAATCATCTTCATCTTCATTATCTTTATAATCCCAATGTATATGAGTACAGTTGATTTCATCAGAAGCATCTTCACAATCTTCAACACCATCACAAGGCGAAGCCGAAACCACACAGGTACCGTCACCACACTTATGTGGTCGCTGAGACGGACACGGGCGAGATTTGCAGTTGATCTCGTCTTCACCATTGGGACAATTCCATCTCCCATCACAGATCTGAAATCCATAAAATTTCTTAACCCCCTATATACAAGACCCCCTCTGAGGTGAGTAAAATCAGCTGGTATTAGCAAATAAAATACTGTATTAAAAGTTACATCCCCTTAGTGAAGGAGTTAGTGAAGATAGTTTACTAACCTCTTATGTTAGGCTTTCCCTTTGAGGTGATGAAATCATTTTGTGTTAGCAAATAAATTATTAAAAGTGACATCCCTGTAGTGAAGGGGTCAATAACTGAGCATAAATTTTGGTCCAAGTGAGGATGCTTTAAGATACAGATTCATAATAAATGATACACTCCTCTAAAAATTGTTTAGCACTAAAAAAAAGTTATTTAAGGCACTACATAGAATCATAAAAACACTGGAATGGAACCTTTAAATATCTTAAAATATCTTAACAGATAAAAAATAAAAATAAACAAATTTATCAATATGTTTTGGGAATTACCCGGTATATACAGCAGGGTTCAGATCTTTGTCATATATATTCATGATATCTAAACACTCGAGACAATTTGGTTGTACCTGTAGTTTGATGAACATGGTTTTGGTGTATCAAACTGAAGGTACAAAACACACAAACTAGAATGAAGAGCAAACACCTTCCTCAAAGAGTCAACAAGTATACACATCATATAACTCACCCTCTTCTCTTGTATACAGATGCCGCTCTCACACAAAAATTCTCCCTCCCTACAAGCTGGCTCCTCTGGCTTCTGTGTCTCGGTTGGTTTGGCTGGCTTAGCTGGCTTTGGTGTGGTCGTTGGGTCGCAGTTACGTTCATCAGTTCTATCGCCACAGTCGTCATGCGTGTCACATAAGAGCGATCTGGCAAAAAATTTTCCTCTTTGAAAACATACCCTGTACTTTACACATAACGAACTTCTCACTGTCCATAATCTGTTAAGGTGGGGAGGTTTCATATCTAACAGACCCTTGACATAATGGACTTCATGCAGGGGTTTCATATCTAACAAACCCTTGTTATAACAGATTTTCCTCTCTATATTCTCCATTAAATAGAGGGTTTACCGAACTAACTGACCTAAGGTGGTGGATTAATCTACACACACACATAACGAGTGAAACATTCTTTACAATTTCATTATTAATATTCAAGTTTTCCAAAAATTACCTCTTAATAGCCTGAAATACTGTCCATGAAGGATTGGATACGTCAGTTTTATTATAAAAGACGAATAACTTATACAGTGGGGTATGCTATAACGAACGGATCCTACTACGAATATTCCTATAACGAACGGTTTTACCTATAAACTTGAGAATGTTATAACGAACGAAACTCCTACAACGAACATTATTTAATTTTTTTTTTTTCTAATTTATTGTTTTTTTATTACAAATATTAATGATATTCTTTATTTCAGGGGTTTAGATGCATATTTATGCACTTTTTTACAATTTTTACAATTTTATATTATATTTTTCAGTGTTAAGTGGTTGTATTTGGGGGCCTGGAACGGATTAATCCTATAACGAACGAATGCTATAACGAACAAGGTTCTAGAACCAATTAGATTCGTTATAGCATACCCCACTGTAATTTACTTTCTTGTCTTCGTAGATGTCCATGTGTAAACCATCTTGTATCCATAATATTTTTGCACAAACCTAACCTAACCTAATTGTCCAAGTGGGATGGTAAAAATCACATTAAAGACAAACACAGGGGATGATGCCAATAGGAAAAGGCCACATTTAAGATATACCTTTATACAGATGTAAGTAAACAAATACAGTATGTCCAAACAGACTTAATTTCTATTCTTTGTGTGTTGGATCCTTGACTTACCGAGCAATACATTGACCATTGCCACACTTGAAGTCGCGATTTGTAGGGCAGGGGAAACTCGTGCAATTCTTCTCATCAGAGCCATCATCACATCCGTCCTCTATGCCATTACAAACCTGTTAGCACAAGATGAGAGGAGAAATAAAAGTACAGAGAAGAAAAATTCCAATATGTTACTACATTATGTCCATTACTTCCATAGTTGAGTGACAAAATGATGAACGAGTGTGTTACAAAATCATCCTCCTTGTAAGATATCCTAACCTCTACTGCATGGCCAGATACTCTCTAAAATGAATTAATCAGAATCAAGATGACCAGAGATGTGTCACAGTGTCTCAGATTATCTTGTAAAGATCTTTCTCTTTCACTCATCTCCCATTTTCTTTTCCCTCCGAAGTATTTAATCTTCCTTTCATTACTTCTGAACAACCTACCTGGGATCACTAACCACTTAGAGGCACTGTAGGTGGTCCTAACACAATACTGAAGACAATTTGTACACTGAAGACATTTCTTTACCAACTGAAGTACAGAAAAGCAACTGGGTCTTTAAAAAGTTAAATGACCACTTAAGTACCCCTGTTGCCTCATCAAAACAAACATCAATGGGGTTTAATAACTTACTGAAATGCAGAAAAAATCAGCTACTTCAATATTACATTTTAACAAGTACTCTGTACAATACATCTTAAGTTGGACTTGATTCTCTATTGAAATGTGAAAAGATAAAACAAATGAACATTGAAGGGAAGAACTACTGAGTTGTGAGATAAGTTGACCAGAACAACTCCTGACAGAACTTGCCTAGACCATGGGGCTAACTGCATTGTTTAAGTTAAACCTAAACAACAGTTGGGCCCCAGAAGGTTTTGCAGATCATTACATGCCATTTTAATTTCATTACAAGATGCCTCATAAGTACCTGCAGAATTATTTATAAGGTAACAAATCAGGAACTTTCAGAGAGTTGTGATGAGGTCTCTTTGTTGTTGTGTCCAGTCTTTCGTAATGCTCGGCCAAGTGGCAATATACCGAGGGTTGTGATTGGCCAATCAGATCACATTAAGCTTCATCCAATTACATTTCTATTTGTTTGGTTCATAAGTCTCAAGTAATGGGTGAGCTATATAACTTAAGTCTGCTTCAAGTAAAATTAATTTGTGTAAAAACAATTACAGGACAGTACAACACTTGTACAACAAACAAAAATGGCTTTAATAAATATGGTTCCCATCCAACAAAACTCACCTGAATGGTACAGTTATCAGAGATAAAGTTTTGTGCAACACAAGACCTGTTGCCAAGTTAAAAACAAACAAGGAAATCACTTAACCAGTTACATTCAGCCATAACCTGCAATGAAGACTCAAACTTGCTCTTTCCAAGCCATGATGAAGAGACAGACTAATGTCCCTCGATATTTATGGTATATCACAAATCATTCCACTTCTTACACAGACTAATCTTCTTCTGTCTGATCATATCATTAACAATTCTATACAAAAATTTGGGACATAAACACTAAGTCCACATAGGTTAACTACCAAAGGTTGAGGCTAAGAAGCTTCTGAATTTTGTTGGCCAATGAAAGTGTTCATCATTGATGAGAAAGCACCAGCCCTTAAGACAGACAACAATGCCAGCAGACTGTCTGACCTCAGATGACCAGATTACAAGGTTGGCTAGTAAGGATGCATCCCACAAATTAACACTCAGGACTGTACTTTGTGGGTGTGAGAAATGGAATTCTGAACACATGTGTGTGTGTGCGCATGTGCATGTGTGCATGTGTGTGTGCATTATTAACCAATATAAATCCAGTTGATGGTGAGCCTCCCTGGCACTAATAGGTCCAAGGCTTGGGGATGCCACCAGATGCTGAAACAGTGAAGACCATTTAGAACACAACATTAACAGATCAACGGCATCATTTAAAAAAGGCTTTATAGTTGACAGTCATTTGTTATTCTATCATTACTTGAGCCAAAAATCTGTAGGTAAAGATACTTTTCATGCAACTTAAACATGCAATTTCCTTTCATCTTGCAGCAATACTGCCATGCACCAATACTCATACACTAAACATTCAAATTCCAGACCAAACTTTACACACATCCTTTACTACAATATAACAGTAAAGTGGATGAAACTTAACACTCAAGAACGCCAGTCTGTGTTGAACAATACAAGAAGACTGTGAAGCAACTATTGGTATCATTGTCTTTGGAGAATGGTTCATTTATCAATTTTGGTTGTGTATCCCCCATTCCACTCTACCCCATCCCACTCCACCCCATCCCACTCCACCCCATCCCACTCCACCCCATCCCACTCCACCCCATCCCACTCCACCCCATCCCACTCCACCCCATCCCACTCCACTGTATCCAACTCCACAGCTGGGGTCAAAAGGTCAACAATGTTGGTACAGTATATGACTCAACAATGGAAGGTCTGCTGCAAGGGGTTGACGACCTCTGTTTCCACTACCATCTGTACTATATTTCAGAGACCTCCATGTGAGCCCATCTCTAGCAATGTCTCTTTTCTTCCCTATGGACACCACAACAATAATCTAACAAAGTCTATGTTTAGAATTTAGACCACTGATCAGTTTGCCATACAGTCTGGGGTGCTGCATTGTACAGCGAACACCCCAAAAATAATTTACAAACGTCATTCCATAAAGGATAAAGGACCTAACACACTTCAGTCTCAGTGTCCTTGTAACTCTCTGTTCTCATCATTGATAATTTACTACTTGTCAGTTATATATTAAAATTACTCTGGTGGTCTTCCTCAGCTCCCACTGCACCTCAAACTCTCATGAGGTGCTGCAGGTAACAGCTAATGGACCTCAGCCACCATATGACTTCCTCAGTCTTTGTCCTACCCTCATATGCTGTGCAGTTTAATTCAGTGGTTTAGTCTTGACTCAGATGACATCATCATCATAACACAGCCCAGCTGCTCTTGGCTGGGTACAGTGGTCCTAGTGTTGTTTAAATATAAGTATCTCAGTAAAGATAAATACTGTATCAAATTATTAAATTCCGATCATTTATTTTTTAAATAATATGTTAACTAACGTAATGATGATTGAACCAGCAGATGATTATTTACATTTATTCTCCTTTAGTGTTTTAGCTGTAACATTAAAAAATTAAGATCTTCTGACATGTTTAATAATCATAATATTAACAACGTCCACCAACCTGGTGTTGGTTTCACTGTTCCCTGTGAAGATAAGACACTGTACCTATAAGGAAGATTCACTTAAGAAGTTATCACTACAAGACACAGGAAGAGACTGATAAGTTTAATAGTTTTAAAAAATAAAGCCCTTTATCTTGTTCTCATAAAGCTCTTTAAGGGCAAGATTCTCTTTCTTTATTGGATCCATGCAGTAGAAGTTGAGGATAATTAACTACCTATTGTGTGTTTATCAAATACAATATTTCACTACTGTAGTTATCATCACATCTTATCAAGCATAAGATGAAGGAAAAAGAACAGCAGCAGCTGTACCTTATCCATGCTGATACATATACCGCTTAAGCACTTGTACTGCCGATCAGCGGGACAATTTCTTCTCTCACATACCAGTTCATCTTTTGCATCAAGACAGTTATATGAGCCATCACATATCATCTTCTCAGCAATGCATATGCCATAGTCACACTTGATGGGGTGATTGTTGGGGCAGACGTGAACATGTGTACAGTAGTCCAGGGCTTCGTCTTCACCTTCCTCACAGTCCTTGAAGACGCCGTCACACAGATTCTGTTTCTCAATACACTTTCCACTACGGCATCTGCCACAAGTAAATTTGAATAAAAATACACCTGTTGGTGTACTGTACAGTACGGTGTTTGAACTGCGACTCTAGCTCTCACCATTAACACAAAGTTGATCTTGTTGGTTTGTACTTCAAGTAGTGAGGACAAACTATTCAAGTAAAGTATCATCAATTATATTGATATTAAATCTTCTCCAAGGACAAGGAAACATTTAAAAGCCTCCAGACAAGACAACAATACTGTCCACCTCCTTAAAGAGGAAACATAAAAATGATTGCAACAAAAAATCTTCAAAACAGTGCACACACAACCTACACCGAGACAGTTCACTGATCATAAATTGGAAAATAAAAACAGATAAGGCAGAGACAGCTTCATGATTAATCAATTTGTGTAGAAATGGGTTGACTCTCAACTCGTAGAACTGTTTTTTACACAAACTTGTGTGCTACTATACCATGCAGTCTACAACATATTTACACTATAGACTGCGGTCTACTATTTGTCCACTACTTTAGAATGTGTATAATAATATAAAAAAATTCTTAGTTATTCAGTAATTTTAGGTTTGGTTGGGTTAGACTAAAAATATCTTTGTAGACTGCATGCTGTAGTAACACCTAAATTACAAACATCATGAATGATTAATATAAGCAAATACTAATACCAGTAACCAATATTGTTTATGAGTTGTTGTGTATATAGTACAGGTACCATGACAATGAAACCGATTCATTACTCAAGTGAAACATTAGTTATCTCTCTACCTTACTTAAACGCCTTGTTTATGGCTTCCCCTATGAGCTGAATAATACTGTGCGGTGTCCCCGTAGAGAAGGGATTAAAAAATGGATGTGTTTATATATATGACCGTGTAAGCTAAAAGTGCCAAAGTAAATGTCGAAATTGGAAAATAAACAATAAGCCAACAGAAGGCAATAAAACTTAAAGCCCACCTGAAGGGTCTATTGACAGGACAGGGGAAGGACTTGCAGAAGCGTGGGTCCTCGTCTTCTCCTCCCGGGCAGGCTGGTTCACCATCACACAGGTCCATCAGGCCAAGACACAGTGTGCTACTCTGGCAACGTGCTACCTTGTCGGAGGGACACGGGCCTGAAGAAGTAAATAAATTCCCACTATGAGATGAAAAAATATGACCATAAAACTGACTGAATTTCAACAAGAATACTCTCACTCATCCACTATGTGTGAATGGAGACAAAATAGGATATCATTTCCACAATTATGAACAATTTTAAACCAAATTCAAGAAATAAGCCACAAAAACAAGACTACACGATCCCCCAACTTACTCGACCAACAGCTGTCCTCGTCAGCACCGTTCATACACTGGAAGTGACCGTCACATTTGTTGCTTTTGGATGTGCACTGATTTGTGACGTCACCGCACCAATACTGATCATAATTGTTGCAACATTCTGAGGGATACAGAAGACAGATGAAGACAATGGTATCCACTAGGGTAGTTTTTGATCCGATCCAGTTAACATTTAATAAGTGTTTTGGGGGATCATCTGCATATTAACCACCCTAACTGTATTGCAACCTCATGATTAAACACCCTTATGCTACCTGGGGGACTGTGGGAGGGCTAGGTTAGTTATCATAAGGGGGTTAATTAACCATCAGGTGAAATAAGTTGGGAATGTTAATCTTTATGTCATCCTATTTTTTGAGTTACTGTATTATCCTACAAATTTATGCCAAGTTTAATCATTGAAATTTCTGTAAATTCTGTGTAATGAAGAGTAACAGAGACCTGAATAGACATATGAAGAGAGAAATGGCCCCAGAAACATACAAGGTGACCAAAAAGTCACTGTGCACCTTAACAATTAAGAATATCGTTAATTACATTTTTCTATTTACAGTAAATATTGAAAAGGGTCACAGTAAATGTTGAACATGAATACCATTCCCAATATTGACTAAGTATAACAAGGTATTGTATATAACAGTGTAAGTAGAACAAGGTATATAACAGTGTAAGTAGAACAAGGTATATAACAGTGTAGGTATAACAAGGAATAACTATAGTGTTAACTATGGCTGGTGCACAGGGACTTTTAGATCACCTTGTATGTGAAGGCATCCTACGGTCACCCTCTCACCTCCCCTCCCATTACCTAAATTTAATAATTATAACACTGTATTCAATAGACTCATAATGAAATCCCTGCCCACCAATAGGCACATCTCAAGATGCTTTGTTCCTCGTCTTACTCTCGTCCGGAGCCTCTCACACATCACAACTTCCAGATGGTTAGAATTGATTTGAGTTTATATGTTACTTTGTTGTGTACACTTGACATGATTATATTATTTTGAAGCTTTACATGGTGATGATGATGATGAGTCTTGTATAATGATGATGAAGAATCAAGTATGATGATGATGAGTCTTGTATTATGATGATGATGATGATGATTCTCACCTGATATTCACAAGTTAGTAGCTGTCAAGGCATTACATCAAGAGCCAAACTTGACTTTGAATGTAACATATCTTACCTGGGCTCGAGGCATCCTCCTTGCACTGAAGCATCTGACACTGGCCATTTATACAGCCGTAGTTAATGCCATCACACTTACTGCTGTTTGTACATGCACCACCAGCACCCACACATTTGTTAGGTATGTCCTCTGCCTCAGACATACAGCCGACAAGTTCTGTAAGAGACAGGCGAATTTACGAGTACTGTAATTATTTCTGCAGATAATTTTTTTAAATATTCAGTTACCCACAAATATCACAAATCCTTTATGATGCATTTGGCAAAAAATGTAAACATCAGTAGAGTATCAAGAAGCACAGTTCCTCTCAAGTATGTTCCAAGTATACAGTCATAGTCTAAAGTCCTATTGCTTCTCTTGCTGTCCATAAATGCTTTGGATTCATGAGTCTGAATCTTGGGGTATATGAAGCAGCAAGGTTAAAACATCATCATCAAAGGGTCAAAAGGGTGTGAGAGAGGCAGGACAATTGACGTATTTTTTGTATCTGGAAGAAGAAGACGTGGAGGCAGAACCTGATTTACGAGATGGTTGCCGGTATGTTCCTAAACAGCCTTTCGTAAACTTGTCTCATCAATTCCCATGAGAAATGCTGAGACATGTTCCCAAGACAAATATATTTCCAAAATGTCTTAAAATACCACAGAAAGTTGCATTCCATAAAATTGCATTTCTATAAAATTGAGTTAGCTTGTGTTAGTTAATGGGAATAAGAACATCAGGACTGGTAAAGTATTCAGAACTAACCAACACTATTAAAAAAAATCTGACACACCAAGCTGCAGCATTCTTACCCTCGGTCATATACTTCATGTACATAACAATGGTAGACCAGATGCGGAGGGGCACCCGCCAGTGGTAGGGCTGCCCGTCACCACGTTTGGATGCCATTTCCATCACTCCTTCTATGGGTTCGGGCGTTATTTCCAGGATGAAGATCTTGGCACCGATTTTCTTTAGGTGCTGTGCTTCTATCAAGTCTGCACCCTCTGTCCCAAGCGAGCCAAAGATGGGCAGAACTGTGGAGAACAAAGATATAATTTACTAAGCTGGGCACTTCCATACACAGTACAGTACTATACCACATCAAAGCTGCCATTCTTCTTTACCTTCATCCCATATATCCCTAAATATCACTAAACTAGGAATACAGTACAGCAATTATTAGTCAAGAATATTTCACCAACATGGGAGGAGTTCCTAACTAATTCTCAAATAATCTAAGAATATATTTTGTGTGTATGATTGGTGAACACACAGGTGAGTGATTTATGGGGCTGGATGTGCTGCAGCTGCTGTGTAATGTGTTCAGTTGCATGAAGTCAAAGAGAGGAACAAAGGAGAAATTTGGGAGATCTTTGTGAAAGGGAACACTACAGGAGAACACATCTGTTACAACACAGTAGTGAGAAAAAGTTAACGACACTGAATGAGGGCATCTGTGTCTTGTGAAATAGCTGCCAGTCAATGGAATAGGCTAATCTGAACATGCAACTGAAAATCACTCATGGAAACAGATCAATCCCCAACCTAAAATACACTATTTATCATGATGCCACTTTTGACTAAAGGAATTGACATCTGTTCCATTGAGATGCACTAATTTGGAGATACTTTTGATGAACTGTACGTAATGGTGACATGGAAAGCCTTTAGAGGGACATTTATTATTATACCGAGGTCATTCTTATATTGTATACATTTTTACTTACATATCACTTTGCAATTTGCCTTAGATTTCCTAAATTTCTTAAAAACTTCTCTGAGAACAGGCTGTATACGGGTAGTCCACTTCTCCTGTGAGAGGTCATTGAAGGCATTTCGTAGAGCACAGCGATTCACTCCCTTTTTAAAAGATAACTTTGAGCTTGTGTAGTCTGAGTACGTCATCAAACTTACTCTGTTAGTTTCTGAAATACTGAAACCAGAAGAAAAATTAATAATTTTGGCTGGAGTCACCATAACATGAACGACAATGTGTGAGAATAAACCACAAAGGCAGACACATAAACAATTTGTCTGCCATTCTGGGTTTCTTCTCGATCATTAATTTCTTCAAGTAATTTACCAAAAATAAAATATATCCCAAATGTAAACAAATGCTTATTCTTCAAATTTAAAGACATCAATATTTATAGTATAAAATTTTTGGTTAAAAACCTAATGACCAAAGCAAGACATTTTAATAGATAGCTGAGGGTACAGGACAACTGACCTGTGAAATTTTGGTTACTAGAACACCCCAGCCAGTCTGACACAGGCAAGAGACTTACATTCGCCCAGTAGTAGATTACGCTCTTATACAACACTGAGACTTATGGAAGAGCAGCCTCTGGCCCACTGACCATAGGTATAATTAATACTTCAAACTCCCAATCCCCCCCAAAAAATGACAGACTTCACAGTATTACACAGTACAGGTGTCCTCTGATTCACTATCTACCTATCTAAGATACTTCCCTTACACAATGGTGAGGTACAGTATAAAGACCAACCCCCCTATTTACGATAATTAATTTTTTGGCATGAACGATGGTCATCGCCTGGCCCAAATCGCTGATACACAGAATATGGAACGCATCTCTCACTGCACTTGTCAGCTGTGGTGTACCTACATGCCGGCATGCGGCCACCCGGTGCACTCCAGTTCCAAGCTTTGTTCCATGGTGATCGCACATGTCTGTGATTATGTTGCTCAATGATTAAATTATCGATCAGTATCAGTGTTGTTATTTATCATCTGTGGTTTTTTTTTTTTACCTTACAGTGAAAGGACATCACTAACATTCACAGTGTACTGTACTCTGTTTTGGTGACTAAAGTAATTTTTGCAATGCTTTTTGTGACTGTGAAGTGCTTTGCCTCTGTTGTTGTGAACATGATGTGACCAGTGTCGGCTGCTAGCATTTTGTTTACTTTATGATTGTTTGCTCTGTTTTTGTGACTGTGAAGTGATGTAACTTTGAAAATGTCTGAGAAGGCCAAGGCACCCAGGAAAACCACGTCTCTGGAGGTAAAGCTCGACTCCCTAGAGGCCGTGTGGATATGTCTGTCTGAGGCTCAAAGCGACATCTTTTTTGTCAGGTCCAAACACCTGTAGACCCCCAGAGACCACTTGACCCATACACCCGTGTCTTTAAGTGAAGAGCTAGACAAGGATAAGCCCCTCGGACATGGCAGGTCACACTTGGGGAAGCTCTAGCTGGTGTTTTCTCACAGGTCACTTGTACATGATCAGACGGCTGTAAAACAAATTCACAGGGAAACAGAGGCAAGGTACCCAGAGACTCGGAGTACAGTATATAACATTTAGAAAAATATAAATACAGTATTTAAATGGAATTAATTGCTCACATGCTACTGGCAATTGTGTATATTAAGTTAGCTTGGGCTGGAAGGTTCCCTGGAGGAGCATCAGGTGAGGAGTGAAGCAAGAAGAGGGTGTCACACGCACATTCCCCCTCTGCCAGTACGTCACTCAGGGACGTAGCAATGTCACCTGTAGTGAAACAAAATGGATAAGAAAAACGATTAGCCTTCACAGAACATCAAAATAACGGGAGGATAAACACATTACAACAGGCCATAAGAAACACAAGAGAGTACATTCTTATCATTCTAACCTCTACTGCAACACTGGCCACTCTCATCATTCTACCCTCTACTGACACACTGGTCACGCTCATCATTCTAACCTCTATTACCGCACTGGTCACTCTTATCATTCTAACTTCTATAACCACACTGGTCACTCTTATCATTCTAACTTCTATTACCACACTGGTCACTCTTATCATAACCTCTACTGACACACTGACCACTCTTATCATTCTCATGCCCTCTCCATTCAACAGGTACTCATGTAAGGTTATTCATCACCAACTCCTGTTCAGTGTAAGAACATCAATCCAGACTCCTAACATCACCTGAATCTTCTCAAACTTCTCCCACCAGCTTGGATCAATGGTAAGATGTCAAGCCATTTAAGCATATTGTCTACCTGCATTGTCTATATGCATGCTGAATAGACGTAAGTTTGTATGAAAATTATACTGAATATCTATCTATCTATCAAACTTAGAATAAAATCTTCTCTCTACTTACTCAGTATTCCATCAGTATGAGGTAACTCAGCATTGTTGGGGAGCAGAGCATCACTCCTTCCTGAAAACACAATTATAATATGTAATTCCAAATGTGTACATCCAGATATACCATTCCCAGTAATGCCACACATACATCCCATCCACCACATAGCGTTAGATTACACTCAGTGCATTCCTTACTACGAGAGGCACAGTGTAGCCAGTGCAACCAGAGTGATGCATTTCCCTTAATGGTTAGGTTAGGTTAGTTTCTTGATGACTGGTATATTTAATAATCTAGAATAAGTGTTTAAGCTCTTGTGTATGGGATCATATCTGTGCTGAATAAAATCATCTGATATTCGAGAAATAAAATATGAAAAGTGGCGTCCCCGTAGTGAAGGGGTAGAAGACTGTAGTTGTTGCAGAGCACTGATGTGATACAATCATTAATCCACTTATACTATATACAGTACAGAAAATACAGTAACACCTGATACAAAACACAAACAATATTACAAAAATGTCGATGTAAAAAACAACTTCAGAGGAAAAGATGAATAACATCAAATAAACAAATAAAAGTATCAACAAATACAATACTGTACTATACTGTATTTACCATCCGCAATGTATATTTTTTTTTTGCGGAATCGGTTATTTTGCAAAATGACAGCCATGAATATTGGTAATTTTGCAAAATAACTCAGAAACAGACGACCTAAACTAACCTAACCTTATGGTTAGGACAGCACATAGTCCAAAGTTAAAAACAAAAAATAAATAGGACCACTTATCTGTGTATCAACAAATACGAGCCATCCTAACCTAACCTAACCTAACCTAACCTTCTTCAACCACAAAGTTAGGTTAGCTTAGGTTGTCTGTTTGTAAGTTATTTTGCAAAATTACCAATATGCATGCCGGTCATTTTGCAAAATAACCGATTTCACAAGAAAAACAAAGTTGTACTATTATTAATTTGTTCCATAAAAGAAAAAAGAACATCAATCACCTGTTTAGTTCAGTATTTACACTATCAAGGTCAACAGCTGTGTCATGACCCAATACAGTACTCGGCAACTCACCAACATTGACCTGGATGTCAGCGGAATCAACCCCCTCACTATTGGATGCCTCGCAGGTGTAGATGCCTGCATGTTGCCTCTCGACTGGATGGAGAGCGAGGAGGACCTGACGATACCCTCGGTAGGCGTACCCTAAGGTGCCAGTGACCAGTTCGTTATTCTGAAAAAAAAAATAATAACCTTCATTTATTGTGGCCAAACCTAACTTATCTTAAACTTACCAAACCTAACATAACCTATTCTAACCTAACCAAACCTAATTTAATCTAACCTAACCTTTCATATCCTAATTTAACCTCACCAAATCAGTATACTAGGGATCCTAATAATCCTGAAATTAATTTATTATTATAAATACTTTGCTAATACTCTGTAACACAAAATTCATTTTTCAAAAATAATGACTAAAGTTCCATTAGGAGAATTTTTTCTTAAAATTTCTAAAGCTGAAGTTAATATAACTCTAGCTTGTATTAACTCCACGGTAATTATTCTATACATTATAATAATATCATCATCATCATTATTATTATTATTATTATTATTATTATTATTATTATTATTATTAATCGAATCTAAAGAATTTTATCTTTGCAATCAATAGTTAAGACAATTCTGAGACTCTTCTTCGACATTTCCCTCGCTAACGACCTATATTATCATTGTTATTGTTATTGTCAGCCATTTAATTAAAGATACTGGGTTGTTCCCTTTAATACTACCATAACCTTTAAACTCATTCACTCATTTAATCTCATTCATTTACTGTTTATTTACGTCCATTTTCTTTGTTGCGATAAGAGAAAACGGAACATTTTATGGGCGGACTTACTTAATTTTTTATTATGGATGTAAGATACAGCAATTATTTTTACTTTAGTGTACTTTATTTTATTTTATCCTCTTCGTCACTGATCGGCCTGTTAGTCGCTTGGGAGGTCGGTCACGTCTCAGTTTGGCACTATTGGCACTGTGGACATGTACTGTACTGGCTCTCTGTTATGCACTGTTGGCAAAGGTACAGGGTGTCTCGTAGGTCGTGCACCAAAGGACAATTAATATTCTTCTGTTTGTCTTTTTTAAAGCAAAGGAAATCAAAGCACATCACCATACATAGTTCTTGTATGACATTAGTAGAGATAGAGGACACCCCGAGACATACATACTACCTCATGACTGCAAGTGACACTAAACTACTCATGATTGTGTCATGGCCTACCCAAACGTAAGATAAAACTTTTCCTTCACGCTTTCAACGTTTTTCCCACCTTGATGTAAAGTGACTGGAATGAAGGGAAAACAAACACAATCTCTCCCTTCAATAATTAATAAGCATTCACAATTAAAATAACAAAATATTTGAATTATCACCAATTTAACTTCATAAGGCAATTCAAGATGAGGTAACCAGCATAACATTTACCTTGAGCCAGCGGTAAGAGATAGGGTCATCACCAACATCTAGCACACACTCCAACACAGCTCCAGTCTGACCCTCTGTCAAGTGCATCTCACCCTCAGAGGCCCTCACACGTGGTGGCACTGAAACGCATAATTATATACGGTTAAGTAAGGTCACAGGAGTTATTGCTCTCTGAGGAAAAATATAGCTCTTGTGTTTTGTGTTGACATAGTTTACAACCTTTGAATCTGTAAAAAATTAATGGTCATATTCCTTTAAATCACCATGAAAACCTACAAAAAATCTAAATACAGTAATTAAATATTTCACTAAGCTGATCACTATTTACAGAAAACGGGTAAAAAAAATGATAATCACAGAAAACGTGTAGTTATATAAAGAGGTAATACTATCAACCAACACTGTACGGCCAAGGTGATGCCAGGTCCCAGCAGCAGTACTACGAGAACACTGGCACTCAGCCCCACCCACACACTGCCCGCCATCCCGCCCACACCAGCAGGGAAGTTCGTCTCTACTGCCACACCGCTCACACCACCACCTGTAAAAAGAACACACGTTTACATTCAACTTTGTCAAAATACATAATACACACAGGGATATCATACAGTACAAGTCATTCCTGAACCTATCAATACAAATACCTTTACTACATAATTTCACCCATGCTCAGGAGGTATACTGTAGCCACTGTATGTATCTGAATTATGTAATGCTGATATACTGACCATCTGTTACTACTGAAGTGGACAGTATTCCTTGAGACTCTTGTATGTCTATGTTTATTTTTAGTCAGCGTCAATATTTATACCTATGCTCAGATTTTCCTGGAGTGCCGTGGCTGAGTGGATATACAGCTCGTCTTCTGTCTTAAGGATCACTTGTTTTATCTTCTTCTCCTTCCTCTTCTCCCTCCCTTTTTCCCTTTCCCTCGGTAATTATTATTGCTCTCTCTCTCTCTCTCTTTTCATGGTGAACGTCAAAGAGTACCATTCCCTCCCTCTCTATCTCTCCTCCCTTAACTACCTCTATCACATCCTCCCTCCCTTTATCACACCCTCCCTCCATCCCTAACACCCTCACTACCTAAGTGGGTGGGAGGGTGAATGGAGTGGGTGGCTAAGTGGGCGGGTGGGTGAATGGAGTGGGTGGCTAAGGTGAGGAGGTGGAGGTGAGTGGGGGTGGTGGAGTGGGGTGGGTGGGTGAGTGGGGGTGGTGGGTGAAGGGAGGGTGGTTTGGGCGGCACTAATGGCTCAACATAACATCAGTGTCAGACATAAACTATGACGACCTGGCTGGTAATGACACGAGACTAAAAAGGAAGAAGAAATAAAAAATGCAGACACAGAAAGAAAAGAGTAGGGCCCCAATCGTCGGACAGTGTGGGTGTAAGAATTGTATTTGGAGAAGGGAAGAGGGCGGGGGAAGGGGGGAAGAGGGGTGGGGAAGGGGAAGAGGGGTGGGGGAAGGGGGAAGAGGGTGGGAAGGAAAGGGGGAGGGGTAGGGGGAAGGGGTAATACATGAGTGTTGGGCTATTGGGTCAGCTGACATGGGCCGGAGGAGAGGGGTGAGGGAAGAGGGCAGGAGGTGAGAGGGGAGGAGGGAAGAAGGTGAGAGAGAGGAGATGAGATAGTAAGAGGGAAGGGAGGAAGGGAGGAGTTATGTTGTTAAGAGAGGAATGAATGGAGGGAAGGGTGTAAGGAAAGGGAAGGGAGGGGGTGTGGGAGGGGAGGTGCGAGAGGGGGTGTGGGAGGGGGGGTGCGGGAGGGGGGGGTGCGGGAGGGAGGGAGAGCGGGCGGGAGATTACTAGTTTAACAACATTATTGACAAAACTTGTAGTACAGTTGGCCTATTCTGAGTAATTTAGTCAGGTCTTGACACTGAGGGTGGTACCACTGTTCACTGCCACACAGGACAAAGGTTCATACACAATAAAAGTCATATTCTATTTGAGGACTAATCAGTGTGGACCGTAATAAAAGAGATGATATGTGGAGGGAGACAAGAATGAGAGAGATATAACAGAGAAAGAAGAAATGAAAAAGAGTGGATAACAGAAATTTAACGAATGCAGGAAGTAGATAACACGAGCAGAGAGAGAGGGGGAGAGGGAGAGAGAGAGAGAGAGATGAGGTACAGATGTTTCTTATCAACACCCAATTACCGCTTCTTCCTCCAAGTCATCTGAACAACTAATGAACTGGACTCAGCTAACGAACTGTACTAAGCTGTCAGCTTTGTGTTCAGCTCCTGTCAGAGTCTGGGAACCTTTGGTGTTCTGACAGAGGATTGATTAGCTACCTGTATTGTACCTTCTGGATAGTATTTTTATGATCTGGCACTACCAGCGACCTGTACTCATGAAACACACACACACACCACAGGGCCTTCACCAACAAAAAGCCGAGGCGCCCCAGTCGACCCTTCTGAAATCGACACATGCATACTTGATGACGTCATTAACTCTCAATACAAGTGTGTGTGTGTTGAGTAAACTGGTGGAATTTCCTGGTCGAGAGAGAGAGAGAGAGAGAGAGAGAGAGACACAAACAGACACTCAGTCAAGTATCTAGACAACAGAATGAAGGAGACGGTTGTGGTGTGGTGAAATACAGACACAGACAGACAGACAGACAAACAAGCGTTCAGTCCTTACCCTCAAATACTGTCCTTAGGGAGGGAAAGGGTGGTGAGGGGAGAGGGGAAGGGAGGGACACGCACACACTTGTCAGGTTATCCCGAAAATGTCTTCAACAGCTGAAACACGACCTCTCCCTCCCTCTCTCTGGTGAAGATGTCCTCACTCCTTGTGGCTGCCTCACACCTAAGTTCATAATATTTATAACAAACTAGCCAGAGAGAGAGAGAGAGAGAGAGAGAGAGAGAGAGAGAGAGAGAGAGAGAGAGAGAGAGAGAGAGAGAGAGAGAGAGAGAGAGAGAGAGAGAGAGATATCAGTTATTTCCTGTAAAGTGGGTTACCCTCTCCCTTATGGCACCCTCTTATGGTACTCCCTTTATGGCACCCCCCAATGGCACCCCTCCATCCCTGCCTTACCAGACTCGTTTATGAGGGTCTTTCAAATATCAAATTTCCCCTAACAACAATAGGTACCATTATACAGAGGTAACCCACAGGAAATGGCGGCGTCTACGTCACGTGTGTTTAGAAATCTTTCCTTTGGGCGTTGATGATTAATACATAACCCGGATGTTGGTGATGACGTAAGTGCTTAAATCCATGCTGATTGGTGGAGAGCTAATACATAACCCGGATGTTGGTGATGACGTAAGTGCTTAAATCCATGCTGATTGGTGGAGAGTTAATACATAACCCGGATGTTGGTGATGACGTAAGTGCTTAAAGCCATGCTGATTGGTAGAGAGCTAATACATAACCCGGATGTTGGTGATGACGTGGGTGCTTAAATCCATGCTGATTGGTTGATTGATTGTTTGAAACATTTTATTTAGCCAGAAAAACACAGATACAGAGTGGATAATAATAACAATATTAACATGGCTGAGCCAGTTGAGAACCTGAGCTCTCTTTTAGGCACCTGATATATACTATACATTTATCTCAAGGAAGTATTATGTAACATTTAGTATCATCTGGAATAGTACAATAGCCTGATGTTAACAAGAACATCTCATAATGTTACCAATCCAATGTTTACTTTCAATCCAATCTACTCGACGGTACGCGAAGATTGGTTGACGAGTTATTAGACCCCCCCCCCCTCCAGCTTATTTTACCTGAAGAGTATTAATAAATGAAGTATTGAAACTAATAATGGAGGAGAAAAGAGGTGAGCTGAGAGAAACAGGTGAGGGAAAGGGTGGGTAAAAGGTGAGGGGAAGGAGAGGAGGGGGTGAGGGGAAGGAGAGGAGGGGGTGAGGGGAAGGAGGTGACAACACTGACTCAGACACACCTTAGCATAATAAACCCGTTAACTACCACACCTGAGGACACGGTACATTAACCTGCTTCCCTCCCCCCTTCCCTTTTCCTCTGTTCCCTTTCTTCCCTCCCGTCTTCCTTTCTTCTTTCATTTCTTCCAATCTCCCTCCCTCCCCTCTTTCTTTTCTCTGTTCCGTTTCTTCCCTCCCTCCCTTCCTTCCTTCTTTTCTCTGTTCCGTTTCTTCCCTCCCTCCCTTCCTTCCTTCCTTCCCTTTTCCTCTGTTCCATTTCATCCCTCCCTCCTTCTCTCCCTCCCTTCCATCCCTCCCTCCCTCTCACCCATACACTGAAACACTAAAATGGAAAAGTTATTCCTATTTGGCTAAAAAGTCAAGTGTCTTTTTAAAGGTTAATCGGCGACTATTTATATGGTGTTATGGTGCAGGTGGTGTGGTGTTATGGTGCAGGTGGTGTGGTATGATGCAAGTGGTGTGGTGTTATGGTGCAAGATACAGTGTTACAGGATATACAGTATTAAGAACAGCTGGTTGGGCTACTAACTAGATCCTCTGCAACCAACACCTCACTTACAATTGATGGTGGTGGTGACGAATGGTGGTAGTGGTGGTAGTGGTGACGAATGATGGTGGTGGTGGGGGACGAAGTGGTGGTGGTGGTAGTGGTGACGAATGATGGTGGTGGTGGTAGTGGTGACGAATGATGGTGGTGGTGGTAGTGGGACGAATGATGGTGGTGGTGGTAGTGGTGACGAATGATGGTGGGTGGTAGTGGTGACGAATGATGGTGGTGGTGGTAGTGGTGACGAATGATGGTGGTGGTGGTAGTGGTGACGAATGATGGTGGTGGTGGCGATTGTTGTAGTGATGATAGTGATACGTTGTGGGCGGGGTGTGGGTGGCAGGTGGGCGGGGTGTGGAGGTGGGCGGATGAATGCCAGGTGGGCGGGGGTGGGCGGGGTGCGAGTGTCAGGTGGGCAAGGTGTGGGCGGATACAACGTGGGCGGAATACAACGTGTGGGCGGCTGTTCATCTAATTCTAAGCAACGGCGTTTTAACATCTCACGTCACCCATTAACCCTTTGATCTCACACACACACACACACGTCAACGCCCTCGTACCATCACGCCCGCACAATATCACTTCGTACCCGAGTTTTTCAAGAGGGGAGATCACTGCCAAACATCCGAGGGGCGAAGCTGAAGGTGAGGTAAGTACCATGGATACACAAGGACACGCCGGTCTACGCATGCGCCAGTCACACGTAAACTATTCCCTCACGTAAAATTAGAAATACCTGGAGTTCTGAGGAAGGTCGCTTAATATGCACACCGTAAATACTGCCTACACTGTATTACCACCTGTATTGTGTCTACCTATAATAAGATTTACCGTAGGTACTAATGTTAGGTGTACTTTTAACTCTTCAAGCTACAATACACAGGTAAACACAGGGTATACATTAAACTAATCACTAAGTGTACAAAACTAACGTAATAAACACTACACTTGTACTCTGTGGGTGTGTGTGTGTGTGTGTGTATCACCAACTGCACAGGTGGTACTCTCATCCTCAGAGAGAGAGAGAGAGAGCAACACAAGACACCCAGGGTATGTGTGTGCGTATATATCCAATATCCAAATCCATCTCTAGTGATTCACACACACACACACACACACACACAGAGTACACAACACTAATGGACAAGCACAAACACACAGCCAAATTATATTATCTTATTCATTTATCTCTCTCTCTCTCTCTCTTCTCTGACATTAAAAAAAAGGTTAGGAGAACTTGACATTAGCCCTCAAAATACAATGCTTCCTCCCTCCTTTCCCTTTCTTCCTTCCTTCCTTCTCCTCCTTTCCCTTTCTTCCTTCCCTCCTTCCCTTCCTCTGTCCCAGCTCATCAGGTAACACAGGTGACCGTCATGAGGTGAAGATATTTACGACAGTTTCTTAATTTGCATACCTACCTGCCCCCCCCCTCCCCTCGCCTTGCCCCTACTTATGTGATGACTCCTTACTTAACACAATGACCTTACTTACATGATGTTATACTTAAGTCACTGTCCCTACTTACAAACCACTTACTTAAGACGTTTACTTAACGCATTCACTGACTCTACTTATAAGATAAAGCCTCACTTAACAGTCACTGGCTCTACTTGTGTGATTAAAGACCTTTACTTAACACTTACAAAATATATTCGAGAGAAAGTAAGAGAGAGATTCACTTATTTACCTGAGAGCTTAGTGACGTCTTTCCAATCACCGAATCTGTAAATGATAAGAACTGTTAATAAATTACAGTAGATGTGTGTAACTGTATTATAGAGGTACAGTTATGGTCGACGATACAGGGATACAGCAACAAACAAAGGATACAAACAAACACGGATAAACAAACAAACAAACAAACAACTTATAAGGTAAACAAAGAAAGACGACAATAAATATCAGTGTTACCAATGAAGTGAAGGGTTAATACTTGCCTACTACCAACACACACACACACACCAGTCCAGGCCGGGGCCATCAACTGTAAACTATAATAATTTGTAAGTTCAATTCATGTTCCTTCTTCTTTCAGTAATGCAAGCCTTTGTTAAACGACCCACCCACCCCATGTCTTTGTTTGTAATAAGTCATTTTTGTCCAATGTATATTTTCAGTCTTCGGGCTGCAGAGCTTTTTCAATAAACCGTTAGTTATTATTATTATTATTATTATTATTATTATTATTACACACACGATCGTCTCTCTCTCTCTGTGTTCATAAAACGTTTAAAATAATACACTGCGCCCCCCTCCTCTCCCCACACACACACCAGGTGACGCTTATGTGACGAAAGGAAGAGTAACACAGATGAGGAGTGTGCGTGACGGCAGGAGGCAGGTTATGTGACGGAGGAGACGATAGGCCTTGTGAAGTTAACGGGAGCCGGCAAGTTACGTATATCATATGACGGAAGAGACGGTAGGCTTTGTGATGGCTGTGACGGAAAAAAAAACGTCACTCATAGACAGACCAGAGGTATAGAATAACACACGGGTGACGCCCTATGTGACGGGGCCAGAGGTGACGGTAGATGACAGGGGCAAACCTAATCAAGGAAGTATTGTGATGACTTCCCACCCTGTCACCCATCATCCAGAACGGCCTCGCCGTCACCCGTCACGACCCCACCGTCACCCGTCACGACCCCACCGTCACCCGTCACGACCCCACCGTCATCCGTCACGACCCCACCGTCACCCGAACACATGCCGTACACCAAAGGAAATAGGATAAAGGAGGAAATATGCAAATGAGAGATAATATAAAGAATAACAACAACAACAATAATAATAACAAAAATAAAACTAATAACAATAGAGTCTCACTACCTCACGAGGAGGTAATTAAGACGCAGCATCAGTTTGTGGAGTAAAGGGTGTGTGTGTGTGTTGTTGTTGTTGTGTAATGGCCTGCTGAATACTCTCTCCCCGCCCTACCTCGTTCATACCCTGCCTCTGCCCCGTTCACCCCTACCCTGCCTCTCCTCATGTAACATAGTCAACACACACACACACAAAAAGGCCTAGTGGAGCAGAGGAGAGGAGCAAGAGAGACGAGCAGAAACTCTTGCCAAAAAATCTCTCTCTCTCTCTCTCTCTCTCTCTCTCTCTCTCTCTCTCTCTCTACATAATTCAGGTCGTTTAAGCTTCACCTGTGTTGTTGAAATTGTTGTTTATTAACTCACTCTTATTTATATCCAGGTGTTTTGGAGAGAGAATAGTGAAAAGTGGATATGTTATGGTAACCTAACCCCCCCAGGTAACGTCAGGGTGTTTAATCATCAGGTGAACTAACCTGGGGCTAATCTTCAAGTGATCCACAGGTTGTAGTAGTGGTGAGGAAGGTGTACAAAGAGAGGATTTAAAGGTCCAGGTAATCCCCAGGTAAGTCTTGATAATTACCCTACTTTGAGTACTGCAAATGGCTCTTATTAACCCAACAGATGAGTCATGCACCTCCACAACACGAGCTGGAGTTAAGACGGGAAAGAAAAATACACCAACTCGAATGTCAATACTCAACACGTATATAGATGATTGGATTTTTGAGCAAGGGAATGGGGCCGATTAGGAATGGGGCCGATTAGGAATGGGACCGATTAAGACGGACTCCACACGTAGAATATAATAGATACCTTTGTTAAATCTCTTAATGAGGTCACTTGTACAAGTAGGTAAGTGTCCCCTTGAGAGCTGGCACATGCAGGTAATCCAGGTGGAGTGTGGGGGAGGCACTTGTACCCTTGATGGTGATGGTAGTGGTGGTGATTGTGGTAGGGATGGTGGTGACTGTGGTAGGGATGGTGGTGACTGTGGTAGGGATGGTGGTGACTGTGGTAGGGATGGTGGTGAGTTAACCTTGTCTTGGAAGTAGACAGGTGTGACGTCTCCCATGGTCACGCCCTGAGTCACTTCTACCACCACCAACACCACTACCTCCACTACAACTACCTCTAAAACTACCACCACAACTACTACTACCACTATTACCACAACCACTACTTCCACCACCACCACAGCCACTACTACCACCACTTACTACCCCCACCACTACTACTACCATCACCAGTACTATCACCACTACCAAGGGTACAATTGCCACTAAGCCACTGAGTACTATAACTTAACCCACTGACCACGATAATTTAAGATAACAAACGTTAAAAGGTTAAGTTATCTTACACCAACGATTACTCCCAAATCTAAACAACTCTTCCTCTATTAATATCTTTATCTTCTACACAAACGTCATAATAATTCAAACTTTATCATTTAGATGCCATTTTTCTCACCATTTTACCGTCAGAATCACTTAGCTCACGTCTACGTCCCAAGTGTAAACATTAGCACCAGCAGCCATCTTGAATCTCCTCCTCCCTTGATATATTGCAGTGGGAATAAAGTCATCTGGCGGGGGAGGCTTTCATACGCATACACTATACAACCCCTTTGACTCTCACACATCTGCATCACTTATGTATCTTTTATGTGTAGTTATGTATACTTAGTGTATTTTATGGCGACAGTGAGTACCTTAATCTGCGTCTGTATGGTGCGTCGTAAATGTCTCTTATGTTGACCACTGAGGAGCCGTCTATCCTCCCCTATCCCTCCCTCTCTTTAATACAGTTAAGCCAGGATAATAACATCTTTCCTAGCCCATCTTTGTTCTCCTATCTCACATAACAAGTATACTATCTTCATTGACGGTGCCGGCGTAAACAAGTGACGTCATGCAGCAATAACCAATCATAGAGCGAAATATGTGATGTTCACTACGAGAAACAATAATTGGTCGCATTCAGTGACGTTATGCTGCAATAACCAATCATCGGGTGCAATTAAGTGACGTCAATCTACATGAACCAATTATCAGATTTGATCAAGTGAGGTCACACTGCTAGAACCAATCATCAGCTGCGATTAAGTGACGTCCATTGACAGAACCAATCAAGCGCAAGAAAATCAAATTATTGGCGATCCACCCAGCCATGTTACACCTCCAGCAGGGTTGTGGCCGACAGGTACAACACCTCCAGACGTTATCGCCGCGTACTTGTCCACTGTGATTACCCGAGACACTGGACACGACGCTGGAGAATGTTCGTTGGTTCAGGTCAGGCGGTGTAAGGGAGAAAAAGACGTTCGCTGGAAGTGTTTGATGTTAGACACAAAGCTGTTTTGGGGGGCTTAGTTGAAAGCTTTTGAGTTTACTTCACACTAAACTAACTAATAAACACACACACACAAGGGACACATTATAAACACATGAGCCAGCGTGGACAGTGATCTGGCCTCCGTCGAGAGTTGGTCACACCCGGCACCATCTTCCCCTCCACCCACACCCCGACCCACCCACGCCCTCATCCCCACCCACCCACGCCCTCTTATTTCACACTCACCGCCCGTAATTTCCTGGGCCGTATTTCAGCCATCCGTGTCCCTCCTGCGATACGCTGTGACAGGTGAGGTAGGTAGGCAGGTGGTCCGTGACGGCGGTGGTGGGGAAGTGCGTGTGTGAGTGAGGATCCACCCCTGCGGAAGTGTATGCTGGGTGGGTGGGTGGGTGTGGGTGGGTACGACCAAAAACACGGCCATAAAGTAAACAAAAACAATAATCACATCCACCACACCACCATTATGATAATTACCTAAATATTACCTGAGAATCACCACTAATATTACGAGTCAGGGCTAAGTGGCGAGCACCTGTCATACATCACCTTAATTGACGTAATCTACCTGGGTAATGATCACTATTATGACGGACTCCAACCTGTGGCTTCACCTGCCTGGGCTGTCACGTGAGGTGGAGGACAGGAGAGGAAATATTCTCAATGGTTTGGAAAGGTATCACACACACACACACACACACACACACACACTTCTAGACAGTAATAACACGTAGACAAAACTCGATACACTCACAGCTTTAGCAGAGGCGCCAAATCACATACCAGCTCTCCCCCCCCTCCTCCTCCTCCTCCTCCTCAGTCTCCTCCTTCTTCTTCTCCTCCTTCTTTCTTCTCCCTCCTCCTTCTCTCTCTCTCCGTCACTTACCCATTAAATTTCAAGCACCCTCTAGCGTTAAGGTGGCAAAACGTCATTTCCCCATAGGTATCTCTTCATCTAGGGACGAACACACACACACACACACACACAGATCTGAGATATGACACGAGCTGTACAGTTATGTATTAATAGTAGGGGGGGTAGAAGGGGGATGGGAGTAGGGGAGAGGGTGATGAGGGAGGTATTTAAACGTGAATGTATTTTTCTTGAGGAGCTACTTTCAGATATCTTGTTTTGAGAGGAATTTCCGGTTCATTTTTAAACTAATTTTAACGTAACGTCGACTCACTCTTCTTAGCCTATCCTAACCTTCAGCCAGTGTTAACGTAAGGAGGTGTGACACGGACCAGACGCCACGTACACAATACAGACAAGTACAGTAGTAGTCCCTGAACTGTCTAATACAGCCTCTGTCACCGTCAAGTGCTACAAGACGACACCTGTCACTCACACATCACCACCACACCCGTCCGTCACTCCTCCGTCAAGACTGTCCCGCCCAGTCCGTCACTCCGTCAAGACTGTCCCTCCCAGTCCGTCACTCCTTCAAGACTGTCCCCATGTCCGTCACTCCTCCGTCAACACTCACCCTCTTCCCCAGATTTTACGGGGAGAGAAGCGTGAAGACACATCCTGACAGACATTCACTGCTGGCATGACATGACCGAGAGGAAGACATTCACTCAAACATTCTAAAAGTCATTCACATAACTCGGTTCACATAACTCGGGAGCCAAGAGTCTAAACTGGTACCTTGTTGACAGGTATACCTCTTAGTAGGCAACAGGTTTTTTAGGATATACCTGGGGCTGTTTAGTTGATTCGCTAACCAATAGCTACCTGGTCAAGTGGCAGGTCAGCTTTGTTGTTCACCAGAGGAAGTACCAGGTCCAACTTTGTACCCAACACTAGGATGGCCAGGTCTACCTTGTACCCAACACTTAGGGTGGCCAGGTCACTCTTGTACTAGGATCGCCCAGGTAACTCCATCCATAACATGAGCCTTAACATGGACAGGTAGACCAGCCAACGCCTTAGTTTAATATTCGGACAACACGAGAGCGGAGCGACACCCAACAGCGCTCACTACACCACTACGCTGCTACTACACCACACGATATGACTTAGTTCTTTCATAAAACACAAAGGCTCTATAACCGAGAGATGGAAGCCTAGTTAATATTCGCTATACGACAAAGTGAAAATCCCAGACGTTTTCTTGCACCAAACATCGACGTGCTTTTTATACTATCAAAAATCTGTCAAACATTAAATTCCTGTGAAACATGACTTAACGTAACCAAATCTAATCTAACCAAACCTGACCTAACCAAACCTAATCTAACCTGAACCTAACTTGACTTAACCGTAACTTAACCTAACCTGGTCTTATTACTGTACAATAATGATACAGTTTTTCGTGCTGATTTTAAATGCGAGACTCATGTTTTGCAGAAATGTTTTATTTGTGACTTACAGGTCTATGAATCACAAGTGCTGGCCACAATCATACTTAATAAGCTCGTACAAATTTTGCCCTTTGTGACTCTGACGCCACAAGTACCCATCCAACATTTGGCGAGGAGTATCGGCTTGTTTGTTGTTTCAGCGGTTGGCAGCAATCCATAACGATTCAATTTTTGGGGTGTTTGCGTCTGTGTCTGGGTCAACAAAGTTTCGGCTGTGGTTGATGGTTAGGTGCTCGTAATTATAGCCCGGCAGCTCGTTCAGGCCTGTATGCGGCCCAGCAGTCACTTACAATAGTCGTGTCCGGTAGAATGTTGTCAATTATGCATAACGTCAGCTGTGCATAAAAATTTAACATAGTCCAAATTTTTAATAAGATCCACCTAACCAAACATTAACCTAACTTAACCTGACCTAACCTAACCTAACCTAATTTTACCTTACTAACCAAACTTGACCTAACCTAACCAACCCTATTTATATAACACTAATATATACCAGAGTAATCTAAAGGGATAAACTGATGTTGAGATCCCTTAGAGTTTTATAATAATTTAACCAACTCATAAACGTGATGTATAATTGTTATAGTCTTATAGGAAGTTATAGAGTTGACTATACTGATTATAGCCACAAACACTTGTAGCTATTTCGTTATATAACACAAACCCACAGAGTACGATGACTAATCCCTTGAGAGCAATGACTAACCCTTCAGTATGATGACTTAATCCCTTCAGTATGATGATTTAACTCTTGAGTATGATGACTTAATCCCTTGAGTATGATGACTTAATCCCTTCAGTATGATGACTTAATTCCTTCCAGTATGATGACTTAATCCCTTCCAGTATGATGACTTAATCCTCCAGTATGATAACTTAACCTTGAGGAGCGATGAATGAATCCCTTTGAGAACGATAACTTAATCCCTTGAGAGCGATGACTTTATCCCTGAAATACTACAAATTACAAGTAAAAAAAACCACAAATACAGAATCAAACTACAGAAATGAATTACAAAAAAAGTTGATTTAATTGGGTTCAGATTACATAAAATAGGTTCTAATACAATGTCATTTACAGTATGTCTTTTATCTAATGCTACTTGGTGTGTCTAGTGTAGTCCCAGAGTAATTTTGACGCCATTTTGAACGCTCTATTTCCTGCCTTGACTTAAGTTGTCCATTTACGAGGAATAATGAACGTAGGAACCTTTGAGAATTGACTGTAAAGTATCGTAAATGGAGGAGTCAAGCTTAACCATCTTGATGTAAACTAAGCTTACTCCTTGTCAGCTTTAAGTCGGCTATTTTAAGCGCTAGTTATATATTCTCTAATAGGAAAATAGCTTCAATTTATGTATTATTTTAAGTTGCTTATTCTCTCTTAAGCTTTCTAAACGTGAACCACAATATTAGTCAAGCTTTTTACTAAACAATCGCACTGTCATGAATAGTACTGTCAAGCTTATCAAACAACCATACTACTATGAATTACACTACACACTAAGCTTATTATAAACCACCCTAAATACCCACTTCCTGTCAAATTGGTCAAAACAAGCTCCCTCGTCAACCCCCAATCACCATCTCGCTCAATCAGGACACACGTTGAATGGTGTCCCTAAAGACGGTCAGCTGCTTCCCCTTCAATTATAATATTCAAACGAGACCTTATCAGTAGCTCGTAATTACTGCTAACATGGGGGACACGGCGAGCTGACATGGACGGGTCAGTTAAGGTATTACAGGGCCTGGTGTGTGTGTGTTGAGTCGTTGCTTGTCATGTGAGCTGAGGGTTGAAATCCTGTATGAAGCGTGAGGAGACCCTGAAACACCCCTACCCCCTGAATCTTCCTCCCGCTGCTCCCCTGAAATACTTCCTCCTCCCTCACCTACCCCTATCCCTGAACCTTCCTCCCACCCCAAGAACAACCCTGAACCTCATCCACACCCTCTTGAATCCATCTTTCCACCCACACCCCCAGTCTATGTATGTTTGGTGTTTACTGATTAGAGTGATTGGCCCTGATGAAGCGTTGTGGATTAGTGTGGATGTCAAGATTCGGTTAGATTATGTGTTGTACAAATTAAGGGTGTGTGTCTGTTGTGTGTGTGGTGTGCGTGTATAGTGTGTTGTGTGTGTTGTGTGCGTGCGTGTGTTGTGCGTGTGTTGTGTGTGTGTGTGTTGTGCGTGTGTTGTCACTTTCCTGCACAAAGCCCACTCCTCTTCTCTGCACGGCTTCCGTACTCCTCGACCCAATCCAGAGAGAAAAGCGGATGAGCCAAGATAACAGATAAGATAACAGATAAGGCAAGATAAACCACATTCAAGAAAAATTAACTAAATCCTTAATGTTTTAGTATTTATGATCGTGGCAGGTCGGGTGACGGCTTCTACACACACACACCCAACTGACGCTTAAAATTCCTATGGTTCTATTCTCTTAAATTTCCTCTTCTAAGGATAAAAAACAGTGCTTAGTTACAGTTACGTCTTTGTACCGTTTTGCCGCCATTTTGGTTTGTGGTTACAGTGAGTCAGTGAGATACGTTCTTACATCTCAACTTACTAAGATAATTTATCGCAGGACCCTTACCGAATGACTCTCTCCTCCCACTCTCTCTCTCACTCGGTAAATCATTCTCCAATACAAGAGAGTATTTTATTATTACTGTTTTCTGGTAAAATCGGTCTATTTACCCTTTGATTTATTACCGTAAATGTTAACATCATTACCGTAAACTTCCCATGGATGATATCAAGTCGTTACGTTAAGCTATTAGAGATACAAGTACTGATCATCTCACCATTCATTCAGTAAATTTAAAGACACTTAAAGGTCAATAGTTCTAAGTAAATAATAAATAAAAATTTATGAAGTTTGTATAAGTAATGAAAACAAAACTCACCTGTTCTTCAGTAAGTTGCCGACACTTACAACACCATACTGTTATCCAAGTCACTGTACTATCCCGGATGGGCACTGTAAGTCAACCACTGCGATGGATGACACGCTTATGGTGATCACCCAAGTCACTGTACACACACCATCCACATGGGCACTATTAAAACTAGGTAAATATCCTTCTTTAAAAACTGAAACCCACACACTAACAACCGCACAAGGTTTCCAGATGGCGGTTTCCACGTATGTCAGGTTTCAGAAACACAGTGAAGAAGAGAAGGGAGGTTTGGAAGTAACTGCTGGGTGAAAAAGCTTGCGGTGTACACTGTGTGAGAGAGTGAGAGGAGGAGAGAGAGAGGGAGCGGGCAGTCACACACCACCAGCAACACACCCGCCTCGGTCAGACTGGCTGGGAGTGGAACCCACACTACCCCGCCACACTCAACAACCAAACACGCCCCATGGCTAAGGTCCTGTTGTTGCCATCAAGTTATTTAAGATTTTTAATCTCTGTGTGTTGGCTTTAAGGGCGGTTTGACTATTTTAAAAACTCTTCACACGTAGAGTTAGTCTGTCTATAAAGAGCCTGTGATGTTATTGGTGTTAGTTTACAAAAATGTTAAAATATAGCCCACAAAATGTCCACCATATAGACTCTGGTTTTCGTTAGATTTAGGCGCCTACTACACTACTACCCTGGACACGAGACTCACTTCACTGAACAGACAGGGGGCATAATAAGACGATACATGTAAAACAACTTAAAAAAAAACTGTGTGAGTGTGGGAGACCTGAGACATACTACATTATACACCCAATCTTTGAGTCTCACTTCAAGCAGTAACTCAAACCTAAAGCATAAATAGAGAGACACAAGTATTTTATTACACGAAGATGCTTTAGAAATAGAAGACACTTTATATATCCAAGTGACCATGACTGATTGGGTTCGTAATCTAAGACTTTGAATCGTAACTTAAGACGTATCACTTTACATCTCACAGACGGCCTTATTCTGAAACACGAAAACTAACAGCCATAACGCCTTCAGAATAACACGGACACTTAATCATAACAAGATATGCTTTCGTAACACTTATTAAGACACACAAAGTTATCGTACAGAAACTAGCGGTGCCTCGACCCAGCCAGGGAGGGCGGGGGAGGAAGGGCGCGTCAGGCTCAGTGAGGACGGTAGCCTGAACACTGCTGGATTTCGTGCTGTCAGGCTGAAACAGAACAGCTTGTGTCAGTCTACTCACTGACGTGATCCTGAAACTTATAACCTTTCTCACTTATATGACCCTGAGGTAGATGACGCCATGCAGATTTTGACAAAGGCGTCCAGAGCAAAACTAATAACTTAGGACTATAATACCCAGGTGAGACGGACTATAGGCAATTACCTGTGTATATAAGGAATTCAAACCCACATACAACTTACGAGTTTTCCAGATTGTTACGATTTTTTCCCATTAAGTTGCGATCATTCCATTTTTAATTTACGACGATTTTTCAAGTTTATTACGATATTTTTCACTTACGATCATTTCATTCTTACACACTTACGATTTTTCCAGTTTCTTATGATTTTTCCTAATAAATTACGACCATTCTAACGTGTTCAGTCATTACAAGGTTCTAGACGGAGTAACACTTAGCTTTGGGTAATTTAAAAGCTATCTGGGAAGCTATTTTCCCTTTGAAATGTTATCTTGGCCGTGTGAAAGGATTACGTAGCGTTTAGTTAAGGTTATGTAGGAGATGTGTAGCACTGTTGTGGTTTGTTTATGATGAGAGAGAGAGAGAGAGAGAGAGAGAGAGAGAGAGAGAGAGAGAGAGAGAGAGAGAGATTGGCTAGATGGAGATTCTACAAGGTGATCCAACTAACCTAACCTAACCCCCAAGGTAGTGTTAAGGTGTTAAATCATCGGGTAAAATCAGTTTCAGGTGACCCTAGGTGTATCCTGAACCTTCTGATGGCGGCTGATTATATAAGTAATGATGAGTGATAAACATTGAATTATTATTAGCATACCATCTTAGGGTAGAGACGCGACACACACACACACACACACACACACACACACACAGAACACCACCAAGGTCGAACTTGTTGACACCACTACTACAGTACTTAAGGCCACAGGTTCACAATGTACACACACCACCTGGCCGGCCACTTGCTGGTACACACACACACACACACACACGCTTTACTACACTACACTACACTACACTACACTACACTACCATTTGATTCTACAAAAACAAAATGTTGATGTAAGAAAAATTATGTTATGTTATTGTGACGCTAAGTGATGCCAAATGTACGCCACAGTAACGCCAAATATACGCCACAGTAACGCCAAATATACGCCACAGTGATACATCAAGTGGTTGTAGGCATGAAAGGAACAATTAGATATGGTAGATGATACCGTCAGCCCGGCCGTGTGCGTCACCGGCCAGGCACTAAATTGATTACCTCGCGTCGTGGAATATAAGGTCCACCCCACCCCCACCCACATCCTCTCCCTCACCCCACATTTACCCACAACCATACCCCCCCATAACCACACCTCCATCACCACTCCACATTCACCCACAACCACACCCCACACTCATCCAGGTTAGGATAGGTTAGGTTAAAATGTTATGGTTAAATTACGATACTTAAGGCTACGTTAAGTTCCTAATACGTCACCCGCCACCCCCACTACAAAAAGGCTAATCCAGCAACATAATGACCGTGGTAGTGTGTGACGTCACTCAACATGGCGCCTCACAGTCAGGTAATGGCTAGTCCTCCTTCCTGGGGACCTGTGTCGGGCTGAAGATGATGACCACAGTGGGCCAGAAACCAGTGGGCACGGGGCCGTGCAGAAACGGGGCCATAGTAGGTACGGGGCCATAGTAAGTACGGGGCCATAGTAGGTACGGGGGCCATTAGGTACGTAAATATTGTAGGTACGCAATAATGGACAAGGGGGATAGTGGGCAAGGCAATCAATGGGCAAGGATGAATAATAGGCAGGGCCCCACAATGAGCCTAGGGCCATAAGCGACGAGGAACCATAGTAAATATGGTCCCAGAGGTCTCGGGAGGCCAGAGAGGTCTCTATATATTAATGCTCCATATATTTGTGTGTCTATCTGTCTGCCCGTCTGTCTGTATGTCTGTTTATTTCTGTCTGTCTGTCTGTCTGTTCATGATATTCTCAAAATCACACGGGTGTTCTCATGACCAGGTGTGTGTGTGTGTGTGTGTGTGTGTGTGTGTGTGTGTGTGTGTGTGTGTGTGTGTGTGTGTGTGTGGGTGTGTGTGTGTGTGTGTTGCCGGGAGTGGCAGGAGGGGGAGGAGAAGGAGGGAGAAGGAGAGGGAGGAGAGAGAGGGGAGAGGGAGAAGGTAAGGGAGACAGGGGAGGGGAGTGGGGGAGAGGAGAGGGATGGAGAGGAGGTAGTCGCTGCAACAGGCCTCCCACCCACCCATGACATCACTCACTGTCATGCACAAATTACATGACAAATGAGACTCCAAGCAATACATTACCCTAGGTTACAGCTCTCCCAGCACCCTCTAGCACCTTCCAGCACATCCTAATACATCCCAGCATCTTCTAGTACCCTTCAGCACCTCCCAGCGCCTTCCAGCACCTCCTCACATCTCTCCTAGCACCTCGTAGCACCTCCTCCACCTGCCCACTACCACCATTACCAGCCCACAACATACACCACCACCATCTAGCTACCACCACTACCACCACTACCTAGCTATCACCACTACCAGCACCACCTCCTGCACCAACACTCACACTGTACCATCTGTCACCCACCTGTGTTATACCATCTGCCCAGTCCATCAACATCAACCACCTGCACCACAATCCACTTAGATCAACTACCAGCATCACCACCACCTGTCTCCCAGCTACACTACCACTATTCACCCTCCCCGACACCACCGCCACCAACCACCATCACCCCCCACACGCACACACACACACTGCACACCCCCCCCACATACCTCCTCTGCATACCACCCTCCTCCTCCTCCCATGTAATTTTTGACCACCCGTCTGTCTGTCTGTCCATTTGTCTGTCTGTCTGTCTGTCTCACCATCTGCAGCCTGTAGTTATTTTTTCACCAGCTCTTGTTTACCTGAACCAGCTGAATCATAACACTTTTGTCAAGCCTTCACCAGCTGTCTCCATCTATCCTCTCCTTCCATCACCAGCTGCAGACACACACACACACACACACACACACACACACACACACACACACACACACACACACACACACACACACACACACACACACCACCTGTAACTCACCATCTGTCTCCCTATTTTACGGGAAATATCTTCAAAGTGTTCATCATCTCCACCACTTCATATTCTCTTTCGTCTTTCTAATCCACCGAGTGTCACTCTCCACTGACTCACTACACCAACGACGACCCCTTAAGTGCTTGTTAGGGCCTGAAAGAGAGAGAGAGAGAGAGAGAGAGAGAGAGAGAGAGAGAGAGAGAGACAGGAGGGGTAGATGAGGGAAAATTTACGAGGGGACATCACAAAAGAGTCACTACCCTCTCCTCCTCCCCGCCTTATCACCCCTCTTATGGTGCTCTTATGGCCCTGTTATGGTCCTCTCTTATGACCCATCAATAACGCGTCATTTTGTTCAATTTATAAAAAAAACTATGGTTCAATAATGGGTTTTTAATATAAATTTCTGTTTATTTCAATTTCAGTCACTTTTACTCTACAGTTTATCCTCTTCGCCACTAATCGGTCCCATAGCCACTTGGTCGGTCGGTCACGTCTCTGTTACACACTGTTGGTAAGTACTGGGAATGTACTGGCTCGCTGTTACATACTATTGATAAGTACTGGTCATGTACTGGCTCTCTGTTACACACTGTTGGTAAGTACTGGTCATGTACTGTTGTTACATACTGTTGATAAGTACTGGTCATGTACTGGCTCTCTGTTACACACTGTTGGTAAGTACTGGTCATGTACTGGCTCCAGGATGTGTCTGTACCTGCGTCAGTGTTGGTCAAGTCAAGTCTCAAATGAGGTCACACTCGGTGCCGTCACAACACTCTCTGGCAGGTTGTTCCAAGAGTCACCCCCTCCCCCCCCCTGACAATGTTCTGGCATCCACTACAGCTCCAGGTATGAACACTAGACTGAGTAATGTCCTCTGAGGTGTTTATAAACGTCTAATAAGTCACAACTACAGGCGTTCTAATCTCTCTGGGTAACTGGGGCGTCGTAGTGCTCAAGATGTTTCCAATCACCCGGCAGTCTGTAGCATATCTCGGGGACCAGACGGGGTGACAGTCCACTACCGTCCGCTCATAACATAACAAACATCACAGATCTTCATTAATCTCACGACTCTCCCGTAAAAC